TGTTTCCGCTGCTGCAGAGAGCCTCTTCCAACTGCCGCTTATAGCTTCTCGCCGCGCTTCTCAGAAATAGATTCATTCGTCTGCTGGGGCTGGGGGGGTTTGATCTTGAGGGCTGTGCTTGCGGGGTGAGATGATGGAGAACTGGTGGCTGCCGATGCCGTTGCTGGGATCGGCAAATTTCATTTTCAATATTCGCGCTGATGGAGCTGTTTTGAGAAAATTTTTTGAGTGCGCATTTGCGAGCGCGAAAGAACTTTCCGAACCATCATGGCGATATTTTAAATTTTCTTCCGTCGAAATGCAACATCGGCAACTCAAATCCTGTCAGTCCCGCTGGCAGACACAGAAAGACCGACAAGACGGGACGAATCCGCCAATACTTGGTATTTCGTCTGAGAGAGATAACGCAGCCAAGTGCGCATGGCGGTCATTCTTCCTGTGAACAAACAGGACTTTTCCTGATAATTGTGACATAAGAACACCGATTTGCTCACAAGGTAGGAATGGAATGAAAAGAACGTAACAAAAGATAATCGCAGCTATTGTCAGCTGTTGCCGATGTGAATCAATAATTCCTAAGAAATATTGAGTGCTGCGATCTAGTTTTGCAAAGAGGAAGCAAGAGATCACAGAACATCCGCCAGATGTCAGGCAAGCACCGCCAGGGGAAGGAAGGAAGCGTAACAGCCTGTTGCCATTGGCATTCCCACCCAAACGGCCCACCTGAGATCCATGTGTTTTCGTAGAACGCCCAGATCCTCCAGGGCTTTCGTTTCATAATCGACCTATGGGGCTGGGCTACCTATGACTTTCTCTAAGAAATTTTCTGGCTGCCGGTGGAGTAGGATGTGTTGTAACGTTCGTCGAGTATCACGAGGAGAGCGTGCCTTCGAGATACTAGGGATTACATGAGCATCTGGGAGGAGGTGAAAGGCCTACGCTGTGATAATTGGCCTAGGTCAAGGTCTGGTGATAGTTCTGAGTGTAGATGAGATAGCATGCCTTCCTGCACGCATCATCTACCCCTTATCTTTCGGTTCCTTTTGAGCTCTCAAATGCTGCTACAAGGTGCTGCATTGCCACTGTCGCGGGTCGGCTAGTCAGCGTTGGCCTGAAACAGGCTAGTCCATAGGAATTCAGAAACAATAGTTTGTGCTCCATTGGACATAGGGTAAACTTTGATCAATTTTGGTGAAAGGCTAAGTCTAGCTAGAGCTAGGGTGATAGCCTTTCGAAATGATTTGGAGATACACTTGGCAGGAAACGATTGTGAAATCATTATTGAAATTGGCTCAGTCATTCCCATGGCACTTTTCAACATCGCTAGTTATGCGTAGCGTAGGCCCTTGGCCTATATACCCAAATTGATGAATAAACAAAAGCCAACCATAATATTTTTTAAACCAGTTTCAAAACAAGGCAAAATTATGAAATAAAAATCAATTGTTTGCCTTATCCAATCCCATTTAATGCTTCTTTCAAAGTGTAATGAAGCATTTGGAGATTCGTTTTTGGACCTAGCGTTCATATGCAGACTATGTAGGATTATATGAACAAAGTTATTAAAAAAAATGGAGGCAATAGGCCTAAGGTCATAAAGGGTGTCATGACACAAAACCTTCAGGTTCCTGCTGTGCTAGCCTCAGCAAAGTGAAAGAATGTTCATCATATCAGCAGGGCACATTGCTTAACTCACATTCATCTGGGGCACTCCCAGATCTGGGATCAGGTTTATGTAGACCTGGTTTTAGTTTTTTTCTAACAGCAGTGTAGAAGTTCTTAGGCATTTCAATGACAGCTCCAGAGAATTCAAGACAAAAAGTCATAGAACCTGTTACTCTGCTTGCAGAGTGCCCTACCCCCTTACTAATTGTTCCACCTATCTGACCAAGTGGATTCACAGTGGAGATTCTCTCTACATGAAAGACCATGGAGTATTTGCTCTTCCTCTCTATGTAATTTCTCAATTTTTCATGTTTCATCTCAAATAAAGGATTCCTTTCCCCATGTTTACCTTGGATTTGGAACATAGCTTCAAAATCCTCAACTTTTTTGTGAATTTTAAGACAAGTTGACAAGTTGTATATCTATTATAACCTAGTATACATTCATCTATCATATATTTACATTCCCCTGACATATCCTTTATTTTTTTCACAGGATAGACCTAGGTTTCCTATGCCTCTGCATACTGTAAATAGTAATTTTACATTGAGCCATTCTATTGTCTGCAAAAAAGCCTAAGTCTAATGAGTTCACAAGGACAATGTATTTTTTTTATAGTTTAAGTATTGGACCTCAGACCTCTCCTGATCTCATTTTCAGTTATGACAAACCAAGGTGCAGTTGAAATATTATTTTTGATCCAAAACACTCCTCTCCCCCCCGATTGGCTCAATGGTGTCGACATATTAGCAAAGCATAACACGTCAGCGAGCGGGCTAGGAGTTCCCCGAGCGACAGACGACAGTGGATGGCATCATTGCTTAGCACTAGAGATGGCTGCTGCTGATCATTGTACTTAGATGGATGGTGGACCAATCAGCTCCAGTCATTATCAATGGGTGAGTCTTTAATCACTCCCAAGAAACTTCCCATATTTCATATTCAGATATCAGTTGTCTGAAAGTATATGTAAACGGATCTCATTTCTCACTTTTTATTAAATAAGAAAAAGTACCTGATTCTGGACCTTCTAGTATAGTGAATCTGAAGCTTTTTGTCATGATCCCAATACCTATATTTATGTGGCCCCCAAGTTCAGAGAAAAGAATTTCAATAGAGTTACTTGAGGGCAAACGAACGAGAGAACAAGTAAGAGAATGTACACAAGAGGTAGTACAGGAATGCATACGTAATTAAAAGGAGCATCGATTTCTGCCGAGAAGAAATGCAGCAATCGCCACTTCACCTCGCCGCCCTTGAGAACCCAACGGGAGTCCTATCGTACTGAAATGATCAGAAAGTGTGAAAGGAATGCTTTATGAATTTAAATCGCAAGGAGTTCTCCCCGATTCATGCGTTTAATGCACCTGTGCATAGAAACCGAGATGGCGACGATGCGACAGCCGAGTGTGACAACTGTTTGGCTTTCTGGTGCCTTTGGTGCCTCTGCTGAGATAAAAGGTATTTCCGGCGTCGATATTCGCCGTGAGAAAAGTTGGTATAAAAAAAAGTCAGTCCTTTTCGTTCGTCGCTTCCTGGGATCGTCTGCTCGCAGGCACTTGTCGCTTTTCCATGGGTTTGGCATTTCCGATTAATCTGTGTTCAACTCTCCTCATATTTTAATCCGTTCTGATGATTTTTTCCTCTCGCGACCCACCGGTCGAGACCCACTGGGGGTAGACCGTGGCGGATTTTATGGGGGGAACGGGGGAGCGGCCGACCCCCTGGCAGCCCTCGTAAACCCCCCTGGCAGCCCTTGAAAAACCCCCCTGACAGCCCTTGAAAATGCCTGAACGCTCCCTCGAGAGGAATTTATTTTTCACCCCGGGACCCTTCGAGCGGAAGTCGGCACGTGTCCCCTCCCAGTCCTTTTCTTAAAGGGTATTTTAGGAATGAGACTGAGTCACATGGCGTCAGCAACTCGAGGATGAATGCGTGGAAAGTTTTGAAGGCCGCGACTGCTGCGGTTTTCTCGCTTGCTTCCCCCCCATTGGCTTCTCGAGGCGAAGCACGCCGTTTAATGGCGATGTCGATTAAACATTGCCGCGATAAGGAATCCGTAGAGTCCTGCAGGCGGTCTGCTTAGCCGTCGAGTTCAGATTAGCATTCCGGCTCGAAACCCTTTTCGTGCTGCTCGGTGGGAAATGCTGGCTGATCCGAGGCGGACGAGACAGAAAGAGGCTGGAAAGAGAAATCCGTGGATTTTTGAGGTGATGACTGCGGTCGAATCTTGGCTGTGGAGTGCTCTAGAAAAGCATCGTTGACTGCTTCGACAGGTGTCTGGTTTCCCTCCGCTGTCGTAGAGAATGTAATGATGAACGTGGCAGTTTCTCGAGAGGAGTCGCTGTTATCCAGGAGATGCAAGGTTTTCTTCCCTCTGAACTTATTTTATTTTTAATTTACTACCTATTTACTCGGCCTCTCTGGCGCTCCGATGGCATCGGCTTATCGCTGCTTAAGAGCTTCTTTCGGTGTTTTTCCATCAAGTGCCGATCGTTAAATCGAGTTGAAAACGAGTAAAGCGAAGCCCTATGCAGTGATCGATCGCGTTTACGGGATTCGACCAAGTGACATCGATGTTCCGTGTTTTGCAAGACCGCATGAACCGGATCGGTAAATGAGAAATTGCTTCCAAGCTCCACTTTCGCGGTACCTGGAACGTTGATGCATGCGGCATGAAGCAAGAGAAAAAGACCGGAAGTTATGTTCTCTTCAATGGACGCTCATTGTTGTGAGCGTATTGTTATATCCGAAAAATTCCACGAAGTGAGACGTTATTAATTTTTATGAATTTTCGAGCAGCCCCTCGTACCGGAAAACCGCTTTCTTGTGGTCAGCTTCCTGACTCTAGAAAATCCGGTGAGCCGGTCCGATGACGTCCGGAAACATCCGGAAATACGTCAAGAAACTTTCTTATCGTTCTTGCAGCCGGATCTCAAGCCTTGCGCAATGAATGGCTTGCAGACGACCTATTTGTCGTGACTTCCGAGTTCGATCAAGCCCCCTTTAACGTTTCCGGACGGAACAATGATTGCCGGGGAAGGATCCTTCGGGCCACCCCATGAAATTACATTCGCATCACGAAGCCGGCCCGAGAACCGGAGCGGCTCGTAGCGTGAGGTTCCCAAGGGAAATCGAGAGAAAGAAGGAAAAAAAAAATATATGCCGAGCGATTCTCACGAAAGTTTGGAGACATCCGGCCGAGAGGGCAAAAGACGAGCGAGCGCGATAGAATGCCCCCAGGCGATATAATGTAAATGTGCATGACAGAGCATGCGAGTGAATCATGCACGTGGTGACGCGAGGGGGCGCCGGGCGAGGGTGCGAGACACGAGATGCTCACCGTGCCTCGGGCTCGGCTCAGTCCGGGTCCCGTCCCGTCCGTTGCGATGGTGAACACGTGCCACCAGACGGGGATCACTTGTGGCGTGGAGAGGAGACAGCTGCCGGTCGTGATGGTGCATCACTGCGGTATCCGAACCTTTTCCCCTTATCGGACCTTTGCCTCGTTTCTTCATGCGATCGATAGATGATTCCTATTATAATTAACGTGATACACATTAAGTGATCGATGATATGTGATATGTGATCGGTGACAGAGGTGGAGGGGGAGAGGAAACGGGAGAAGCCTCCAGTCCCGCCTAAGCCGTCGTGGCTGGTGCATCAGGTGACCATGGCGAAGGGGCAACACGTCCCGAGGAGACATCATCATCATCATCATCATCATCATCATCGGCAGCGGGGAAACACGACACCCAGGAGGTATGTCGCCCATGGTGCTTCCTTTTAAAAACGAGACGGAAGTGCACATGTGTGAAGCATCTGGAAAAAGAAGGGGGAGGGGCCCATGGGCTCCTGTTCTCTCCTCTGTCCACAGCTGCACTTGTGCAAGGAGCCTCCCAATTAGGCTGCCTTCTCGCGCTCGCTCTTATCAATACGTGGGTGGATCCCCCACTCGACCGGGGATCGGTCCCCCCTTTTTTTATCATCTGTTTTCCCCCCAATCCTGATTTATTTTCGTGCCCCTTATCGGTGTCGTTGAATTTTCCTCGAAGTACTCCTGAAACATTATCTACACAGGTTGCAGTCGCCCAGTGCGAGTGAGTCACAGTTTAATGCGTTCTGCGTCTCGCCTACTGTAGGGACGAGTCCCCACTGCTCGACTTCCGCTATGCAAAGCGACGGCGATAAGCCATCGCCTCGTTCGTTTGTTCCCTTTCGTGTGCGCAGTGCAGAGTTGTGTGTCTGTTGCTCTGGTTTGGGTTGCGTGTGAATCTCGACGTGACGATCAAGTACGGTATCTTCTTTTTCCTTGCCTGGCTGGATTTTTGGCTCTCGCCATCGATCCGGGGCGAGGAGAGGAAGAAAAATGCGGTGCGGGGACAGAGGGGAGAAAATGAGAAAAGAAAGGGGCCCTCGGTGAAGGAAAGGGGAATGAAGCATTTCACGGGGTTCTTTGTACCGCATTTCCCCTTGCCTATTTATACACGGAACACCTACCGATCGGCGTGTATGCTTTCTTACGACCAAAGAAAACCGCTCGGTTGAGTTCACGTGCCCGTGAATGAGGCCAGAACGACTGCATCGTCTTATTCCTTCTTTTTCCTTCCCCCTCCCCACCCCCGCCGCCCCGCCCCCATTCTGGTATTTTTGGCTAAAGATAGCATTTCCTTCCCCCTCCCCTCCTTTCCTCTCCTCAAGATGCTCCTGGTTCCAGAGACAGTCGTCTTTTCCGGGGCGTACCCGATATCATCGTTCGGGGGGAACCGTACTTTTTTTCGCGTCAGTCCGTACGATCGGAAGAAGACAGTTGGCAGAGAAAGAGAAAAGGGAGAAAGAAATCTAGGATATGATGGTTGGCACGAGTAGGATTGTCGAAAATAGACTCGCTGCACTTTGGCCATGCCAACAAAACCTCCTCCACTTCCAGTTTTTGAGTCCATGTCCATCTCGGGTGGAAGGGTCTCGAGATTCTCCTCCATCTCCATTGTTTTTGTGCGTGGAGGCCCTCTCCGTCGTCCGTCATGAAGTGGAAGATGAAATTGCCTCAGTTGGATCGAGCCAGGTGGGAAGAATGAACTCGCTTCACCTGTACGTATGGCCTTCCTCTGAATACTCGCACCTCTCTCTCTCTCTCTGTTTCTTGTACTACGTCTGATGATGCAATGGAATCGGCCTCGATCGGCTCATTTCCATTCCCGCCACGTTCTCCATAGGGTGTTTTGCATGGCAAGCGGCCTGGAACGGTTTAGAAAGAAGAGAAAGCCTCCAGTCTCCCTTCTCCCTATTATCAAACACTCTAAAAAGGATTCTCTGATTGAGAACGAAAACAAAAAAGAGGGAAAGGGATCCTTCAGTTCAGTTTCTCCCTTATCTGTGGCTGCGTGCGTTCCACATGCTGTTATAAATCTCTGGTCAAGATTGGGGTTTTCAGGTAGTTTTTCACATGAAAGGGTGCCGCTATCCCCCCCAATCATCTTCCTTACCTCCTTCGTGCGGACGAAAAAAGGAAAAGGTGAGAAAGGATCGATGCAATGTTACTGAGGATCAGAAGCCTCTGCAGTTGACAGATTCCATGCCGATCACGTAGGTGGTGGGACCGGATTCCGTATCGTTCGATAGAAACTGGTTTCCCTTGATCCTTTGCCAGCATATCGCACGCCATAATCGATGATTAATGGAAAGGCTCATCGCCGGTTGAATCGATTTTGGCGGAAACCCGAGGCTTTTTCCTCGATAACGAGGGAATGCCATGAAACAAAGGTGAACCCCACATTGTGAATTCCAGATGTAGACCTCATTAGAAACGGACGGAGGATCAGGACTTGAATAGGGAGACGTTACAAAGCCCAGCGGGAGAGATCAAGGTCCTCGGATCGGGTTTGTGGATATTGTTGAATGGTATCCACAGGAAAGAAGACGAGGGGAAAAAGGAATTGGAGAAGAGAGGGGAGGGGGGGGAAAGGGGGAGAAAGAAGTAAAAAACGGTGCACCTGCGTAGACTAGGGGCCCCAGTCAAGGTAATGAGCTCCGGCACGCCGGCGAAGCAGTCGCGGGGGCAGCTGTTTCCATGTGCACACGACGGATCTAGCAAGGGTAACAAGTGGTAAGAAGTGGAAAATCCCATCCCTTCAACATGCGGTCAGTCCGATCGACTTCAGATTTCATCTACGGTTGGTTCACGCTATGGTTCCGCTTCGTCGTCTCCTGCATCGTACGACGGCTTCGAAGCAAAGAAGTTCCTCCCGAGTCAAAGTATGCGATTACAGTCATTTGTCTTAGCGGACACTTGTTCAAATATTCTTAACCTAAATGTGTTATACTGTCCTTAAATTGACTCGCGTCCTTGAGTCTATAGCTTATGCTTATTTATTTATTTATTACTATTATTTTTTATTTTGTACTGATAACTTTTTGAAGTGTTACATTCAGCGTATCAGTAACCGGTTCTAGAATATGGATTTCAAAGAGAATCAATGATACTAGTCGCCCCTCGTTCTCGGCTTTTTATGTATGCGCCGGATTTACGGCCTAGCATTTGCGTTCACTCGATGTCCATGAAGAAGAGAGGGGAGTCCTCTATCGACCACATCCGAATCCATCATTTATTGAAAACTACGCAGGCGCGAGGACATAGTTGCATGCAGCTGGTCTCACGTCATGACTTCGGAATCTTGCTATCCTCTTCCATGACCCCCTGCCTTGTATGATCGATGTACTAGGGTTCCGCGTGTTCGTCCGACTTTCCCATCTTTCGAAGCATCTCTATCGCAGTACAGAGAAGAGAGGGAAATATACTTTCGACTTGGCCATTTCCTGGCTCATTGAACCCTTCAGAGGGGTTTCCCCCATGAATCAGTTCGTGTTGATGTTTTCTCGGAGTATGCGCCGAGGGTTGGCTTTTGTTTAGTTCCGTTTTGTGATTCCTATCACCAAGAGAGAGAGAGAGAGAGAGAGAGGCGAGGCGAGATAGAGAGGAGGGTCATGGGGATGACCTTGTCGTACACAGACGATGAATGATGTAGGAAGAACGTATCTTCCATGATTCGTCGTATAGATCCACGCCAGAATCCGAGAAGGGAGGAGAAACGGGGGAAGCAGAAAAAGAGAAAGATAAGGAGGCAGAGGAACCGGCTCCTCCTGAGCAGGAGCCGCAACGGGAATCGAGAAAGAAGGTTTTCTCTGGCATCCGGAAAAGGGCATCTTCAGCTCCCGCTGCCAAATCCAGCAAAGAATCCAGTCTCCCCCACATCCCCATCAAATCCATCCTGAAGTCTGCTAAGCAAAGGGTAGAGAAATCGAAATTTTCTGCCTCGGCCCACGAACTGGCCAGCTCCTTGTCTGGATTCGTCAAGAGCCATAGCAGCCACGGGACGACGGAGAAGAAGTCCAAGTCCCATGTCCCTCGACGGTTCCGAAAGTCGGCCGAGAGGAGCGAGCCGTCCTCGAGTGCCAAGAGCAGTGCCACGGATGTCTCCTCGCAGAAATCAATTTCTTCCATCAAGGAATCGCCGTTGAGAAGGAAACCCGAGGGTCTCCCTAAGCCTGCTCCTCGCAGAAAGGTCCCCGTGGGCACCAGGTATTGCCGCATTCAGAGAGATGTCCCGTTTGTGGAAGATGGAGCCACCACGGTGTCCGATTCTTCGACCGAAGCCTTTCGAGAGGAAGACACTCATATCAAATACGAGCAGGCGGATGCCGAGTTGCGGAAATTCATCCACGAGACTTTGATGAGTAATGGGTTCCCCAAGGACAGGAAGACGGAAGAACTGGGTCGAGAGATCGAAGGGATCGTGAAGGAAGTATTCAGCGACCCCTCGGTTTCGGAATGTCTCGTTGCTTGCCCCCCAGAGTTTGGCCTGGAGGAAACTTTCATCGATCGAGAGACCTTCATCGATAGTCTCGTTCAAAACATCATGACTTCCTCTCAGTATGAAGCAATCGGAGAGATGTCTTGGCAGCGCGGAAACAGCCCGGCTTTTCCCCCAAATCCTAGGGGAAGTCCAGACACGCTACCCAGACAGAAAAATCGACCGACGAAACCTCCAAGAGCGCCGAAGAAGCCTCTGGTGCGTTCCCTGAGCCGAGAGCTCGGGCTTGCCATCGAACACCGTCGAATGATCGAGGAGAGAATCTACAAGGAAAATGTGGAATGGCAGAGGAAGGCCATGTTAGAGACTGCCAAGTGGATGGAGGAACGTCAACGACGCCAGGAGAAGGCTGAACGATATAAGGAATTGAAGCAAATGTTGGAGAAGGAGGAACGAGAGAAGCAGGCCAAAAGAGCGAAAGAGTATGCAGATACACTCCTGAAGTCTCAGACTCAGCCTAAGCGGTTCCAGAGCCTTCCTCGAGACCAGAAATTCGAATTTAACTCGGGGACGCTGACGCCTCGTCGACGTCGGAAGAAGGAAAGGATTCCGGTGCAACCGGCAACGATTGCCAGAGATTACCGGGTTCAGTCTGAGATAGAGAAGTATCATACTCCTCCTGAGAGCCCCACTAAACATTTCATTCGTAATGTCGGAAGATCCCCTTCTCCTTCAAGATCCCAGAAAAGGTCGCAGTCGTCGACTCTTCACTCGAGGAAGTTCCAAGATTCCCCGTCGAAGCCCGAAAGGAAGAAACGCAGTCAGTCGTTCCATGAAATGGATTGGTTGAAGAAACAGGAAGCAAGCTCTTGTGCTCGCATGGCTACTTCAGAACCAGACATGGATCTAGCTGAGCAATCTATGTATCATAAGTATGAGAAGATCAGTCGGCCCCTGCCTAATCCGCCGAAACCTCCTAGGGGAAAAGGCAAAGAAGATGGAAATATAACACCTGCCACTCCTATGTCTGACACAGAGGCACTGTACAAGACGATCACTAGGCAGAAACAGAATTACAATCATGATGGGAACTTCAATAAAAGCCAAGAAATGGTAGGAACTGAAAGCCTAGGCCAAGCCTCTAAGACTCAGCTGAATGAATTAAGTAGATCTTTGCTGGAAGCTGCCAAAGCCTCATTGATTGAGCAAGGTATACCCCCCAGCAAGTTGCAGTCCTTTGAACTCTATTTTGCTAATATTCTTTCTCTGCCGGAATTGAAGGTGAGTAAATTGACCATCCAGGAATTATGTGCTGAGACAATCAATGTTAGTGAAATCACAGCTGAGAAGATACACAAGCATGTAAGTGGAAAGAAGGAGGATGAAAGATCCACTGCAACTGCAACACCAAGCACAACTACAACAAGTCACCAACAAGCCAGAAGAGATGGTGACCAAACTCTGACTGAAGATCTGACTGGTGCCACATATGAAACAGCAGTTGAATTGGATAGTGACATAGAAGGATCACTGAAGTCAGTTGAAGTGGCATTTGATACCATTGAAGGAAGCTTGAGCTATATTCATAGTAAGGTACAGAGCAACGAGAGTCTAGCATCTCCAGACACTCGTGCCTATCACCAGAGTCTCAAACATGAAGGTCAAGAAAGCGATGTTGCTTCAACAGATCATCAGATCGATGGTTTCATCCTACAGGATGAAGATTCTGTCACACGATCCTCCGAATGCATGGAGGACATCCCAGCACGTCTGGACGACATCCGCTTGGCACTTGAGAGACTCTTGGCTCCTCGGGGTTGTGAGTCATCAGATATTGCTCAAGAAGAGCTGTGGATATCCCCATTTGGGAACGAAGTTGTCAGTTCAGCTTGTCAGGTAGATGCCCAGCTCCTGGAAGAGGAACTTCAAGTTATCTTTGGAGATTTGGCAAAAAAAAAAGCCCACAATAACATGAGTTTTACACTTGGTTCATTTAGTCGTTCTGTAGGTGTTTCCCTTCAACCCCCTCAGTTAGGAGGATCTCTCCTGGATGGAAGAAGCTACAGTGAAACTTCCCACTTTCAATCATCTGCCCAAATTGAGCAGGGACTGGAGTTGGGAAGGGGCAGGTGGAGTATGGAAAAAAGTTGATTCGTAATTAGGCTGTATTAGTGTAATTTTGAGCCTGTGATCATTGCCACAGCATGCAGAAGTGGAAGTCGAGCAGATGGGTTAGGGATTGAGTGGATTATTTCCAGATCACTGGTACACTAGCAGTTAAGAGGTAGATACAGAATAAAAAATAGTTTACTGTCTAACTCAAACAAGGGACCAGGTGGGAGACAGGGAGTTCCAGGACAGTGAGATGTGTGGAGAAGTAGAAGAACCAGAAAGACCATTGTCACCTAAAGGACCTGCAATGTCTGTGGTTGTGTCCTGTGAATCTGAGGATCGATGTCTTGCTAATGGTTTCAACAATGACCCAGACTCTACCAGCTTTTCCAGTGAAGCCTTCCCGAATCTCATCTCCAACTGTGAAGAAACTGATTCTGAAGACCTCGATCCTGGGACTAGAAGGAAGCAAAAATCTTTCTTCATTGTTCAGGAGATTGTGAGTTCTGAGAAGGGTTTCGTGGATGTCCTGAAGCTCCTGACCATTGACTTCGCAGAGTTTGTGGCAGAAAGGTGCGATGACAATCAAACCACTGTGATTCCCCAAGCTGAGATAAAGAGGGTGTTCAACCATCTTCCTCAACTGTATCAGCTGAATAGTGATCTCCTCAGCGATCTTTCAGATCGTCTTGCCAACTGGCACATCCGTCCCCAGCTGGCAGACATCTTTGTCAAGAAGGGACCCTTCCTCAAACTCTATGCAACATATTGTCAGGACTATGAGGCTCAGTGTGCCCTTCTGGATGAGTACTGTGCCAAATATCCCCAGTGGAAGAAACATGTGGAGGACTTTGAAGCATTAGACCGGTGTCAGAGGCTGAAACTACAGCACTATATGTTGAAACCCATCCAGAGGGTGCCTCAGTATCGACTTCTTTTGGACAAATACTTCCGTTGCCTGGATCCAGAGGAGATGGACTATGAACCAACCAAGTCAGCTCTCCTGGTTATGTGTGATGTCGCCGATCATATCAACAACAGCATGAAGGTTGATGTAAGTCCATTGTACCTTCTGGTGTTCTTGAAAGTACCTTTTCCAATGTGAACTACCCAATCACTGAGAATGATGGTTCTTCCTTACAGGAAGCATTCAACCAGCTGTGGCAGTTGCAGAATCAATTGCAGAATTTTGAAGTGATTCAGCCTGGCAGGAGGATCTTGAAGAAGGGTGAGCTTCTAAAGATCTGCCGCAAAGGCACACAGGCCCGCTACTTCATACTTGTAAGTGTGCATCTTGAACACCATAAGTGTTTTATTTGTTATGGCTTTGTTTAGGTTCTATTTCCATGATTTGCACTCTCCCTTAGATGACAGATATTCTGCTCCACACAAGTTATGTGAACCCAGGTACTAATTTGCCAACTGGGAATGGTCTCTACTTACGTAATGCATTCCAGCTCACCAGGATGAAGGTCGCCCTACCTAAAATTGGAGAGTATCAGCATGAATTCAGCATCATCTCTTCCACGCGCAGCTTCAGCTTAGTTGCACGGTGGGTCAAAATGAGACACCTTCAATCCTGCATTGCCATTTTATCATTGCTGGGAGTTCTCTTATATGTCTGTCAGACGGAGAAGATAGCTGATCCAAAGATGCAGCTTTTGCCTTCTTCGCTCAGTTCTATTGCTGTGAGGGGTTTCTCCTCCCATCAGTATTCTCCCTCTGTACCACATGACTATTTTTCCCATACTGTCCCATATTATTGATCCATTTTGCTACTACCATGCTCATAATATGTCTGCAACACTGTCACTGAGTGGAATGAGAAATGCATTTAGAAACTTGTTCATACTGGCTGTCATATCTACAGTTGGGAAATGTCATTAAGTTTACTAGCAAGCTTCTATAGGATCTACAGTTATTAGCATCTTCTTACTCAGTTGTATATAGCATGTCCAAGCTACCTCAACCATAGTACTTCTTAGACATGTCTTAAGAACGCTCATCTTCATACTGATCAGATATCATCATCAATTACCCAACAGCTAATCTATTCCCTCAGCTATCTTATCATATTGGCTCTGACATGACCCATCCATGGGTATCTCCTCATGTTGGACAATGTGCATGACCCATATATGAGTCACAGAATTGCCTATATACCATCATCTCATTTGCACAAATGTGAGAATCATGCACTTGCATGTGCTTTGCTGCATGACAGATTCAATAGTCTCTGCTATTTTAAATTTCGTATGCAATTTTCTGAAGAAACTCTGAAAGGTGAAGTTTTGGTATTATGTTTGGTAGTCTATATCATCTAAATCACAACTACTTAGTCAGCAATAGAAGTTTTTTATTTTTAGCCAGCAAGCTACCTTCTCAAACTATTATGGAGCTCATTGGGCTCTACACCAATGAATCTATTTTTATGGATTCTTCAAGGGAAGAAATAAGAGAAAGATCAAAAACATCAAGGACAGCCAGAAGCTTAAGGTAATTGTATGGGATAAAACAGCCTGTACCTATTGCCTTCATAGTAAACAGGATAAAACATTTAGACACTGTACCACATTCTTGACACAGCACATATAATATAACATATAACACTATATTGCAGTTAGGTCTTCTGAGAGTTTTTTGCTTCTGTCACAATATTTTATCTTCGGGTCAGCACCTAACATGTGACAGTTTCTAGTGAAAGTTGGGTGCTCTAGCTCTTTGTTGGAATGTAAGTGGTGCCATAAATGTAGTAGAGCCACACTGAAGATACTGCATGGTGTTGGTGCAGTATGACTCATATGTAAGTCATGCTGTATAATTTAATAATAAATACATTTTTAAATTTATCATGACTTGGCACTGCAGTTTCTGAGTAACAAGTAACCAAAGAAGGATATTCCAACTAACAAAACACCATACAAAGTATTGGTACATCTGGTGTTCCATCTGAAGGGATATGAAGTTGGGAACTTTTTTGAGCCACCCAGAATACTGGATGGCAGTTTCTGCTATCTTCATGCTAAAAACACTTGAGCCTGAATTCGTTCAAATCTAGCTTTTAAAGTAAAGTGGAATTGTCTTAACAATATCTATTTATTGGACCTATTGGAGTTGGGCTTGAAATAGAGGAAGTATAAATGTGAATAATTGCATGAGAAAAACTGTTGTGTGCTCTAGGTCATCTGCAGAGAGAGTAGAATGGGTGCAAGCCCTGCAAGCAGCCATTGATGAGAATGCTTCTCGGCGTTCCACTTTCTGTGCTGCAAATCCTCTCATCTACCCCACCATCGAAAATCATACTGACTCTGATTTGCATCTAGGCAAAGAGGTCAGAAGTGTTTCTTATGGCCCCTTTGTTTTAACTGGGACACTTCATTGTTACTTACATTTTTACATGTATTTTTAGGCTCCAGTATGGGTTCCAGACAGCAGAGTGACCATGTGTCAGTTGTGCACGTCAGAGTTCACTGTAACCTTTCGGCGACATCACTGTCGTGCTTGTGGGAAGGTGAGACATCTCTCTGCCCTTTGCAAATATGAAGATGAAAACTTTATAACTCTATTGCTGCTGCACTTCTAGCCGGTCACTACCATTTAGCATGTCAAAGAACTGTAGAGGCACTTTGAAATTTTGGTAGTGTCTAGGTTTTGGGTTTCCTCCCACATCCTAGTATGGGAATTTTCACCACAGAAGGACCAGGATCTCCCAATGAGCTAATTCTCACACCTATTTTCAGTTGAAACAAGGTCAACCACTAGAGCATCTATGGGTGAACAGGCAAGGGCAGAGCTGAAGATGTAACAGCCATTGTCACAATGAAGGACTCTGATATCCCAACCCTATCTAAGAGCTTACTAACTAAGAGCTTCAGTCATTATTACTTTGTCAGTTCCATCAACTCAAGATCATTGGGTGGATAGATTTCTGATAATATTTAGCAAGAACATAGAAAAACCAATCATAATTCCTCTCATAACAAAATATGGAAGCAACCAATGTTCCTTGAAGATCAGTAGCTAATGCTATCTGGGCACAATACTAGGTAGTGGATCATGTGGGTTATGTTCTCATGACGATATTTCAATGGCAGAATTTCCAGCATCTCCTAGGGACTCCTATGTTCATCAGAATAATTGCATAACTTGATATCCAACATGATAGAGATGCACAATGTTACAGTCATCATGACCATTGTAACCCAGAAATATAGACTGAGTCTGTTGCTTTGAACATAAGTTTTTTCACTGTATCTAAGACTTGTTTACCAAATGATGAAGAGTGGATTCTGGATACATATCTTTTCAGGTTGTATGCTCATCATGCTCAAACAATGAAGCTCCTTTGGAATACCTGAAGAACAAATGTGCTCGTGTCTGTGATTACTGTTATGTCCAACTCAAGAAGAGTGAGTTTCCTTACCTCTCAGTTTGTTTCTTAGATGATCCTATTCTCACAACCTATTGAAGTGATGCTATATAACCTTCTTTCTGTCTTTACAGATTTTAATTCTCGAAAGGACTCACCTCAGACATCCAAGAGTTCTGTGTCATCTGCTGAGAGTGAAGCAGACATGAGGGATAGTCCAGATCAGGAATCCTGCAAGGGCCAGTTCAAGAAATTTGGTTCTTCTGCCACACGGCGATCTCAGCGTTCCATACCCCAGCGCTTGCGAGAGGTATCTTATTCTCATAAGATTACAGGCTTTTCTATATTTATTAGGATTTCACTTTCTCATTAATAATTACCCCTTCGTAGGCCTTAAGGTTTGAGGGATGATGCTGGTCATGAAACAGATTTTATTCTCATTCATTGCCAACTAAATATTCAGGCCAGCTTTGAGCTTGCTCACTCACACAGAACAAATTCTTCATTTCCAACCCTGTCCCAAAGCTGTCTTTCTAGTGGTTAACTTTATACAACCCAGTAAGCATTAGTAGTAGTACATGTATCCACTACTTTTAACAAATTATTTTGCATCCCAGGAACTGAGAGAGCAGTTAGAAAGTCTCATGAATGTGTTAATAAGGACATCCATTTATATTCCAATGATGCTATTCTAAGACCTGGTGCTTTGTCAAAACCAGGGTGAATGTTCCCTGTGTTTTTGCTTACATACAGGGCTAGTCAAAATGATTGCAGCGGTTTCAGAAAATTACTACAGGTTTATTATTTGACATATACTTACAAGATTGCACAGATATATAAACAAATAGTGAAAGTTTTTTTTAGTGTTTACAGATGCTCAATATGTGCACCTTTAGTGACTCTGCACACATCAACTCTATAATCGAGTTCTTCCCATACTCGATGCAGCATGGCTCTGTCAATGCGAGCAAACGCATTGGTGATGCGAACCCGCAGGTCTGGCAGATCAACTGGTACTCATGCCACAACTGGAAGCCGACAGTGAAGATTTCATCTTGCAGCAGGACGGTGCTCCACCCCATTTTTCTCTAGCTGTCCGTAATTTCCTAACCACCAGGATTCCAAACAGATGGATTGGTCGTGTTGGGAATGCTGATCTTCAGTTGATGTCATGGGCTCCTCGCTCCCCTGACTTAACCCCCTGCGACTTCTTTGTTTGGGGTTTCGTAAAGGACTCAGTGTTCGTGCCACCAGTACCAGTTGATCTGCCAGACCTGCGGGTTCGCATCACCAATGCGTTTGCTCGCATTGACAGAGCCATGCTGCATCGAGTATGGGAAGAACTCGATTATAGAGTTGATGTGTGCAGAGTCACTAAAGGTGCACATATTGAGCATCTGTAAACACTAAAAAAAACTTTCACTATTTGTTTATATATCTGTGCAATCTTGTAAGTATATGTCAAATAATAAACCTGTAGTAATTTTCTGAAACCGCTGCAATCATTTTGACTAGTCCTGTATATGAAATTAAAGGTACCCTGACTAGAGTTTGTGTAGTGGGAGCTATTGCATTATCTCTTTTATGTCATCATTCAGGAGAATGGGAGTGTTTCTATCGGTGAAGCCAGTCTTTGCACTTCATGAATGACAGGAACAATCACAATCAGGTTTTGAAAGAGGTCAAAGAGTTCTGAGGGAAGGAAGGCAAGTCACTGGTATTTTAACCAGGGAAACAAGCATTTCCTCTACTTTAGTTTCCCATAGTTGAGCAAGTTGGACAGCTCCCACTGCGCCAATATTGATCTGTGGTACCCTTTATTTCACATGCTGCTTAGATAGACAAGTTGCAAACTCCTGCTTAATTTTTACTCAAGGCATGATCTTCAGGCATTAATCTTAGCATGGTTTTCTTAATGGATGAATCCTGATGGTCTAATCCTGGGATGTCAAAATACATTTAGCAAGTTCTGGGATTTTCTGTGCTATTTTTTGCACTAGATTTCATATTCGCTTTTGTTGGAATTGGCATTGTGAATGATTTCCAATGATATAAAGCATAATTACTTTCTGAAAGACACTTCTGTCTCGAAAGAGGGTCAGGAATGATGGAACCCTAACCCATAGCCTCTTCAGACCTAAGAAGCATATTTACATTCCAAATATTATAGCTTCTATTTTACTTGGTGTCTCAGGAGATTAGCATACAGCTGTGTTGCATTTCTTCACCAGCACTTCAAAGGGATCTGCCATCCTATTCCCTGCTCATCATTGGTTGTTTCTATTTTTCCTACCTACAGGTGCGAGCCAACACTGAAGAAGCCAATATGAGTGGGTACCTTTATCAGAAGAAGCGTGCCAACTGGAGGAAACTTTGGTTTGTGCTGAAGGATAAAGTTTTATATGCTTATGGAGCATCTGAGGACATCAGTGCCCTGGAATCCCTACCACTACTTGGATACCACATTCGTGTGGTATCAGAGGAGGTGAGACACCAGAAACTGTAATTATGTTCTGTTTATTCTTGTACTCATAAAATTTGTGTGTGACTAAGATGCAATACTGTTTGGACAGAGCCCCAGGAACCATTTTGAAGGTATTGATGCCAGCTTGGTCTTCTATGTCTCTCATCCCAACCAGCAACCCTTATTTTTCCACACAGACTCCCCTGATGGCACCAACAGGTGGACTTCCCTTCTTAGTTCATCTGAAATGTGAAACTTGTACCCAGTTTTAAATGTTTACCATAACCTCATTTTCTCTGTTTACAGGTGGGTGAAAGCTTTAAGAGAAGCCACAGTATTGGATCCATCTTGAAGAGAACGGGGATTATCTATGAAAGTATCTCATTTAAAAAATGCCTTTTTTATATTAAGAAACCAAGGAAAGAGAGAAAAGTGAGCTTTCTACCTCAGAGTAAGAATTGCTTTGGAGAGGATGACTTGCTTACTTTTCTGTTTCTCTGTCACTCAGGAGAATCCTCATATCGTGACATGTTTTTAATTGTGAGAATGTGTGCTCAGTGGAATTTCTTACCTGTGCTGCCAGAGATAACATTCACTACCTGATCTTTGACACCCTAGTCATCACAGTTAAATGACAATGCCTGTCGCTTATAAAACAGACCATATCTAATAAAGATGATTGGATTGCAAACTGGTTCTGGTTTCTTAATTTCAATATGAGATGTGGATGGGGAACTTCAGGAAAGGAGGAGTATGCCAAAATGCAAACCTTGGTATAGAAATGAAAATTTCCAAGTGTCTATGTGAGACACAGACAGACATGACAAGACTTCTGCAGTGATACTAGGAAAACTCCCTAGCAGATGTGTCAGTGATGGTCAAACTCAAGGCCTGCATGGTGAATCTCAGATGGTGTTTAGGGTCTTGAGGTGGCAATCTGAAGCACCCTTAATGAGAACGACTCCAAATTGATTCATCAAAAATGTATCCACAATAATGACTTATTCTCCCCTGAATCTATCTAAAATGAGGTTGAAATTAGATTCAACTTGAGTCTTGAATCAGGATATGCCTGTCAGAAACGAACTACCTTTTTTCGAGTTATGCTGTCCTTGTTAAGCTCTTGCTGCCAGATAAGGCCGTCCTTAGGCATGTGCCACATTTGCCCCAGCACAGGGCGCAAATTCACCAGGGGCGCCAAAACGTGACTAAATATAAGAAGCAATAATGTATGCCACCCTCAGTTTTACTTCAGAAAGTGAAAATGCCTTCCGTTTCGGCGTCAATTTGAACGCTAGGGATGGACCCTTCTCCATTCGAGGGGCGCTTCGGGAGTCTCCTGGCACAGGGTGCCGAAATAGCTAGGGCCGGCCCTGCTGCCAGAGTTGCATCAAATCCCCAAGTAAAGTGGTTGCATTTTGTTAATCACCTTAGGATATGAAATCACTTTGGCAAATTGAACTGTATGAGAGCAATGAGAAAACTACGAAAATTGCAGATGCTTTCAAGCTCAAGATTTTCTGGTAGCATCCGACTCCACGTTTTTTTTAATGACTGAAACAGTGAAAAATGTATTGCAAAAGCCACAGAAAATGCCTATGGGGACCATGCAGGGAAAAAAACCTCATGACCTTTGACCCATGACTCATGACCTTGGGCGGAAACAAAGTGGTAACCACTCCTCCGATAAATTCGGTTGCCTTCTCGACTTCTCTCTCAGCTCTCAAGTCGATCCACAGGCCTCTCGGAGTAGGATCAACCTAATACAATATCATTGTTGGCCTCTAATGATGTGGGAACAGCATCGTTGTAGATTCTTAGACCCATGCTTCTGGCTTCGTTTGGCATGTCTCCTATTTATATCTTATCTTCACAGCAAGATTTGGCATGAGCGAAGCTGTTAAGGATTTCATCAGCTATTTGCATAGCCTCTAAACAATCAACTAGGTAATTCATGAATATACCTCCACCGCATTATTTTCCTCTGAGCCATACTCATAAATTTTTATTTAGACTTGCTTCACATTGAACAAAGAGAATAAACCAACAACGAAGAAGGAAGGTCGCTTAACCCTTATCCGTGCAAGGTATTTTGTGACACAAACGGGCAAGGCCAAACATTTTTTGAAAATTTTCCTTAAAAGCAAATTCAAACTTTAAAAATTCGTTTTTTTAATCTATGGATGACTGTTTATGAAACCCATATCAAACTTTGCAATCAAAAGCCACGGGGGTGAGCATATTCGATTCAATGTTCTGACCTATAATTGACGAGGGAGATCATCGCCTTTAATACCTTAATTCTAGCGACAAATATTTAAATCGTACCGTGACCGTATCAAGGAAATTATTTTGAGTATGAACACGGTTTCTCTCTCATTCTATTACGTTTCTATTACGACGCTTCAAGTACCACGAATAATAAATTTAAAAAAACTTGGATAACTTCTGAGGAGCGGTCGCACGATCCCTTCCCTTCGCGCTCATTGGCTGACGCGGAGCTAATGCGTCCTAGGCCTTGGCTCGCGATGGAGGCGATTTGTCTTGGCACAGACGCTTCCATGGAGGCAATGCGTCATTAAAATGTCGTTTGTATTAACGATAATGTCGATCGAATACCATCGCATGAAACGGATGTTTCTGTGTCTTTGACCCCGCGCTTGCCACGGCTAGAATGCGAAGTGGAGCACGATGAAATCATTTTCTGCTTGCTGACGAGTGCAGTTCGATGTCGCGTCGTGCCGATTCTGATTTATTCGCGGGTGAAATATGCGATAAGTATGTCACGTGCTTCTTCGGGGCATGTGTTCTCTATAATAAATTGTGTAAATTATGTAATGAAAATCTATAAGTAAAGGAAATTCTACCGGTTCGAGCATGAACTGAACATTTTTTGTTTAATCTCTTTAAAAACCTGTTTGAGACTCTCGTACGAGTTTTCTCGGGTCCTTTCTACGGTCACACCCGAAATCGAAATTTTCCGGGACAGGGCTTTTGCGGCTCAATTCGAGCGTACGAAACTCGATTAAGCTAAAAGAGACTTAAACTGTGCAAGAGCGAAAGTTGGTGAAATGGCGGAGGATGGGAATTTTTTTTTTTTCTTGGGAATTCCCGATTCGCACGATTGCCGATTGCCTATGCATGAAGACCCCCCTGTGGGAATAGAAACAGGAGCAGAAATAGAAAGGTCGAGGAAATGCAGGTTGAGACGATAAGCATGGACTCGTTTAAAAAAAAAAAAAAAACATATTTGGGTGCATTGCGTACAAGATAAGTGGAGTGGGGGCGAGAGGATGGAGTGTTTGTTGACACGGAGACTTTCGAGAGGCCTTCGAGAGGCCTTCGAGAGGCCTTCGGATGGCCTTCGGATGGCCTTTGACCGGAGTCAGGATGTGGGACTGGTTTTCGTGGGTTGTACCTGTTTCCACAACCGAGAAAAATGTTTCGTGCAGTTCATCCGAAAATGATGTTTTGACGAAGTCAGTGGGCATGCTCCCACACCGTAATACGAGGTAAAACACTTTTTTTTTTAAACAAAAGCCGGATCGAAAAAAAATAAATAAATAATTATCAAAATTCGCGGCGGCACCACCTCCGCACCCCGCACGGACCCCGCCCCGACTGCAAGCGCAGGCGAAAACCTCCCCGGATGTTGGAGGAAGTGGGATGACGCCAGCGCCATCACTCGGCAGCCCTTGCAGGTTTTTCGAGGCGTTCGGGCGACGTCAGTGATATGAACATCGCGCGTTTCCGCACCCAAAGGCGATTTATTTCCATGCGTGCGTGAATTTCACGAGTTACTGGACGGAGGACCTCCAAATTTAACCTATCATGGTGCTGCGTGAGGGAAGCATCACGCGTGAATGAACGACGAAGCGTGACAGTAACACGTAACGGTAGACCGTGCGTGACAGTAACACGTAACGGCAGACCGTGCGTGACAGTAACACGTAACGGCAGACCGTGCGTGGCACAACCCTGCTGGTGCCGGTCGTCGGCGCGATCAGTTCGTATGCTGAAAGAAATTATGATTTTTTTTGTCCGGTATGAAAATGGATGATAGTTCGAAAATTCGGTTCACAGTATTTAAATTGAACCCGTTCGTCAGATTGCGGGAAGACAATGGCAAACTCAAAGTGAACATAATACTAAAAGTAGCACGTAGGTCAGTCACCGCCTACGTTTGGGGAAGGGACCAAGATGACCCACTGCAACGGTATGCAAGAGTACCAAGATGACCCACTGCTCCCCTGTTCCAATATAGAAGCCTGAGGAATGAGAGGGACTCTACAAGTATTGTGTCACACTTGATCTAAAATAAATTATTATAATTATGGTAATAGGAAGTTTGTGTATTCTTACACTTTTGTATTCCCATACTGAACCTGAGCATTTAATAATTCCCTGAGTCTTATATTGCAATCAAAACATCATAATTCCACGATTTCCTAGTAAAAACGAGGAAGAAACAATTTTGCTAAATCAGGAAGGCAGGTACTTCATTGCATTAATAGGATGCAGGGAACGAGGTTTCCATCTAGTGGGAACTCTTGGTACTGCGTATGGGGAAGTGCCAGCTGCACTCTCCACCTTACAATCAAAAGTTTTACGGGCCAGCAACTGCATGTCCAACTTGCCGCCGCGTTTCCGCCTCCAGCAGAAATCCGCCAGTGAAGTGCCTGGGTCGCTTATGGCCCACTGCTTTTGTGCTACTTGGGACTTCAGCGAGGAATCAGCCCCAAGTGGCACAAAAGTGGTGGGCCGTAAGAGGCCCAGGCACTATACAGGTGGATTTCTGCCGGAGGCGGAAAAGTGTAGGCTGAAATGGCAGGTCATCCAGCTGGCCGGATATATGATGCCTCAAATAACTTCATCCGGACTTCCCCCAATATCACAAAAGCAGTGGACCATCGGCGGTCCGGACGCTTTAGAAGCGGATTTCCACCGGAGGCGAGAACGTGGCAGCGAGTGGGACACACAGTTGCCGTCTCGCTACGTAGTGGAGGTGGAGGGCCGCCAGCTCTATTTCCATAATGTGGCTGGCACTCTCCTAGATGTAGTACCGAGAGTCCTCACTAGATGGTATCCATGTTTCCTACACCCTAAAAATGCAATTAAGTACCTGTCTTCCTGATTTAGCAAAAGTGTTATCTCTCCTCTTTTCTCTTTTTATTGTGCAATTTATAAATAGATATGAGGAAACTGTGTAATTACGACGTTTTAATTGCAATATGACACAAAGAATTCTTAAATGCTGACATCGAGTATGGGAATACAGAAGTGAACGGGAATAAGCAATCGTGCAGTGAGTAAGTTCACTAAGGTCATTCATACTGTACACTGCTTAACAAAGTATTTTTTGAGTCCCATTTATTTTTTCGAAGGTCCGTTTTGAATACGGAAAAGGGTAAGAATGGGAAACCTGAGTACTCTTCTGAGAACGCTATAGCTCCGAATTTTCGCGATCAACCGAATTTTCGGCATATCGAGACGTGAATATGCGAAATCGTTTTTCGCCTTTGCCCTCATCATAGTCCCAATGTCGTCTCAACACGGTCGAGTTATCCACATCATCCCAACAGAAAGCAGATTCTACCAATCGAGATGGCGCCGAATCAGCGATTCTCATCCAAGTGTTCTGAAAAATGCAGTTCCCTGCATTTTTCACCCGATCTTTCCGAGTTGGGCTCTCGGTATCTCGTTCCAGATACGACAGAAGGAATTACCGCCAAAACTCCCATGTGGGATCGAACGTGCCCAGTAGAAAACCAAAGGATTGCAATTAGCACGCCTTTAACAACGAAATTATGTTTTCTATCGACAAGTATATATATATGCTGCTTGGTTGCGATTTGTTGTTTTCATTAACGAATGTAAATAATAAAATGTATATTTCTATTTCAGATTGAATTCATTAATACCCATGGCTCTATCATGGGTAAATTTTTGTGAATAATCTTGAATAAATCCTTAATAATAATAAATAAATCCTTTGGTTTTCTATTGAGCACCCTGTAGCACCCTATTGAGCACCCTGTAGTAAAGGAAGTTACCATCTCGACAGGGACTTCCGTTGGTTGATAGTACTCACTGGAGTACCTGTAATACCGTTGAACTGTGTTGCATTTCAACAATGTGGCAACATTGTGGCAACCCTCGCTCAACGTTGGCCCTACGTTGTCGTGCCGCATGGTCGTATGGCCTTGAATCTGCTTGTAGCAATTCACGACACCATTTGGAGGATTATATGCATGAGTTACATCCGAAAATCGGTGAAAATAAGAGCTGTGCTTCTTCCAACAGGTATACAGGTGCATAATGTTCCATCTTGCCGTCTTGCCTCTGAGTTTTTTTTTTTCTCGAATATTCCCGATGTTGGTTTAGCCACAAAGCAATTTGAAAGGAGACTCGCTGAAATTGATGCACGATGGCTCGATTTCCATCGAAGAATCGCTCTTCGAATGAAGTCAGTGCACGTCAGATGAAATCTAGGCCTTAGGCATGGACTATTGGGGCGAAAAAAAGGTGACTATGAGGTAATAACGGATGCCACCCTCAGTTTTACTTCAGAAGGTGAATGCATTCAGTTTTGTCGTCATTTTTGACGCAAGGGACCTTTCTCCTATCTGGGGGGAGTCTCTTTGCACAGGGCGCCGAAATAACTATGGGAAAATTCTGAATAAAAATTTATGTGGAAGACGATTCGAAGGTGCATATGGCGTGTGAATGAAACCCAATGCACAAAAATTTTATAGTCACGATGATACTCTTCTCTGCGTTGTCACGAACTGTATTTTTTGGGACTTTCTCTAGGCTCTTGGAAGTGGAAAAAAAAAAAAAAGCACTGCAAGTTTCTGCACTAAGATCTGAGATTTCTGGGTTAAAACTTCTCTTCTCAAGGATGCTGAGATTGCGTTTGTGGTCATTAAGCAATTATTAAGAAAGGATTGGGCGGCTTCAAAAGTCGACCGACTGAGCCATATGAGTTTTTATTTGAGTGAAAAGTGTGAATCGAGTCGGGGCTTTGATGGATCCAGTTGGGAAATAATGGAGTAAGGCCACTGGGCCCAGTATGGCGGCGCTGGCTCCGTTCACACGTGCCTGGCACTCCTGCTCGTTTACGTGAGCTGATGTTTTCTCCACATGTTACGATGCTCGTGGACATGCTGAATGAGGCAGTTCCGTGGATGCACTGTGGGAAGTTTCGTGTGGGGGAGTGAAGAAATCTGTGGGCCTTCTCTGGGGAGAATGGGAGAGCGAGAACTAGGCCTACCAGGAAATAAGATGCTTTGAGTTGATGATGCCGAACTGGATCTGGGCGTGCCGTTTGCCTAAGTCCTAAATCAGCACCTTATATATTCTAGTTCTATATATCTACATGTATAGGTCCTGTGTTGGGGAATTCATGCATGTTGCTTAATTCCCAAAGAAATGAAAGGTGCCACATCACCAAATCTATCTTAAAAGTAATCTTCTTATTTAAAGTTAGATATAAATATATCTCCTAAGTTAAGAAATAATTTATGACGTTATTATTGCATCCTGTTGATTGAGAGTTGGTGCATTCACTTGTTAGGAACCTATCATGTTTTCCTTTATTTTTTCTCTTTGTTCACTACTGTCTTTTCAACTTGCTCTCAGCCAGATGGGTCTTGACCCATGGCTTTATGTACTGTATTGGGATGACTTATGCATTTCCTGAATAAGTCAAGTCAAATAATATGTTGCATGCATTGAATATTCAAGACATAAGAAAATTTTTAAGCTGCACATGCATGTGTTATTTGAACAGGTTCCATCTTTTCTTGTGCCAAGACATGCAAAACATTGTGTGTCTTATCAAATCAAGAGAATGAATTACCTATGATATTATCATAGGCCCCAATAAAATCCTTTAACCTTTTACATGTCAAATGTTGCCATATTTGAACACAGCGTGTATGTGGAAAAATGCAAATGTTACCATATTCAAACAGCATGGAATCTTCCTTTTTTAGGTGTGGAAAAGAAGATTCTTCGAATCTGACTATATTTGAGTTTTCCCACTTAAATGCTCTATTTGTATATGGAAACATTCGGCATATAAAGGTTAGCATTAATGAGATCTCTGTCACTGCACTTGCTTTCCATTGACCAGGACCTTAATAATTGTAATGCCACTTTTATGAAGTTCTTCATGTCTCCCTTGTCATATCTGTGACATACCTATAAAACCTTCTTCAATGTCATTTATTTTTTATTATTTGCAGACCTCCAAAATTTATCACAGTCTAAATAAGGCTATAACAGTTTCATGTGTAACAGACATATATCATACTAACTGATGGATGAATTCTAGATCTCCAAGCTACTGTGGACTGCAAATTCTCAGATATCCAACTCCCTTATTGATGACTATTAATTTCATCTTTTGAATTACATGCCTGATATCCTCTCCAAATACATTATGAGAACTATCATTATGGTGGCCGATGTGAAGTGTACTATGAAAAACTGATTGAAAATTCTACTTTCCCCTTTGGTAGATACTAAGTAAAGTTTCCAATAGAAGGTTAATCCATTTGCTTGTATTCCACTTGTAGATAATGCAGGAAAATGGTTGTCCAAAGTTGCCAGAGCCTTGCTTGGACTCAAGACCCCTTTCTCTGGATGAGGAAGGTCAAGCTGTGACAGATGAAGAGGATCTCAGTTCTACTGCCTTACATGGCATGCACTTTTTTCCCTTGCCCTGTCAAGGAAGTATTTACAGTCTAGTCTCTCTGCCCATCGTCGGAGAAAAGCGACATCTCCTTGTCACCTCTGTAAAGAGGAAAGTGTTTTCATCAGAATTCATCAGGGCTCCTGATGGGGTCCTTCGGCCTTCTGCCAAGGAGATTCATTTCACCTATATACCAGGTTATTTGCATTGAATATTTACCATAGCTGCCTAGTGCTTATTCCTGTTCTGTCTCAGAACAGAGTAGATATATGAATTCTTTCACCTTAATTTCACCTGTGGTTTGCAATGTTTTTGGATTGACTCTTACCCACCAAATAGAGAAGAATATCTTAATTCAATGTAGTAATTATTGCTAAGGAAAAGTTGGCTGCACATTATGGCATTGAACTTCACTCTTGCCTGTTCTGGCAAGACCCACAGGACTAAAATGCTCCTTTCTGCCACATATTTCCCTTCTCTGACGATACAATTTCTGGTGCTCATGAGACATCTATTTATTGCAGACATTTATGGTATCAGGTCCATAGAATGACATTCCAACTTAAGTGAAGAAACTACAGCTTTCCTACTCAATTGTAAAGATGTTATTAAAAAATATCCGGCATATGTAAACAGGGAAAAATCCATAATGATTTGAAAAAAATGTTAATGGTGTAGTCAGTTCATGGAATATATGCATTGGAGGGTGAGGAAGCCATTCTTATTAATTGCCAAGTATTCTTCCTGTTGATTAGGTATGGTAGTATTATGGGGGGTGCATGAAGCTTCAGACACCTTCATGTTTTACTGCCTCCTCTGCATTATTGCCTTACATCCTACATAAAGGAGGTGTCATATTTAGGCCCTGTTAGTGACAGGAATCTTGCTCACAACTGGAAATACACATTCACTCCTGTGTAAACTGCCACAGCCTTTTTCTTTTCCATATCTTCTCTTTTTGGGCTCATTGAACATTGCCTAGTTTTGATATCCTACATTAAACAAAACCTAGTTTTAATGTATTATAAATTTTCCTTCAGAGATCATTTTCTCAATCTGGATTCATGGTTTCTTCATGAGGGCAAAAATTGGTGTTGCAGTCTGTATAAGCCCACATTATGCCTCTTTACCAAATGGGCTAGTTTATTAATGCCATTGATCTGCCCTTGCAATATAGAATAGGCCAATCTTATTACGTTTTTAAAACTACTTTCAAGAAAATAATGGATTCCTGATTAATGCCTGAACTTAATTTGGCCTAATTTTCTTTGCAGGGAGCTCACAGATAGTATCCATTGATGCTTTCAACAAAAGCAATTCAATAGCTGATTATGTGGTCGGGATCACGATAGTGAAGGTATGCCATCTTCCAGGACTTTCAGTCCAGTACTGCACTATAGCAGGAAACTGCATACGACCATATCTGGACTATTTCCGAAAGGGAATATGCTGTCACTCTTAGTGCCTTGACATGCAACTCATAGCCTTCTGCGGCATAATCCCAGGCTGTCGAGGAAGGGGCTGGTGAGATGGGGCAGCATTTGAATGTCTACTCAGGCTGGGAGACGAGTTCTCAGATCACCTTGGATTCCATTGCCCAAAACTGCACCTACATACCTTTGGACTTTTTCCCCTATCACCTAAAACATGCTGAAATCCCAAGTTCAGCTGAGGGAAAGAAGAATCAGTCTCTTGAGGTCAGTCATTACAGCAGATGTTTTGTCTTCGTGTTTTTAGTATATTGTCTTAATGTTGGTGAATGGAATGGATTCCAAGAACTGTATTCATCAATTAGAATGGAAAGGATAGTTTCCATGTTTTCCATGAGAAAGTAATTGCTTTTGTTCTCAGGCATCATTTACTTGCAATGACAGCTTTGCATTCTAGTTAAATTCAATGAATTTCCGAGAAGCAGGATTTTGACTGATGTTGCAAAATAATCTTCCATCACTTGCTTGATTTGTCTTGGAACTATTCAGTGCATGGAACCAGTTCTTAGAACTTAGGCTTTAGGAGTGAAGCAGAAAGCCTGCTTTTCCTGTCAGAAACATTTTTCTTTTTTGTTTTTGTTTTTATTTATGACTGACCCCATCTGACTACATGAGGTATTTATTGTTATCCACAGGCTTTGGAAATTGTGATATTCCTAATCCACAGACATCAATTATACCCAGTTTAAAATCCCAACTGGAATATTCCAGTTGGACTGAATCTGTAAATTCAGACCATTTCCAGCTGGCAAAGAGCTGGAAACAGTAGATACCAGTTGGTGTTTAGCTGGAATTTTCCTACTGGTATGCAACTGGTTTTAATAGCTGTTTCCAGCTGGAAATTTGCAGTTAGAATTTCATAAAGAGGACCCAATAGCTGGAATACAGCTGAATTTACAACTGAAATTCATCTGTTTCTGTAGATGAACCTCAGACAAAGATATTCAACAAAAAGATTCTCAATCACTTAGTGATATTGCATCTAGGAACCAATCTGGATTTGACTACTTTCCAGCTGCCACCCAGTTGGAATGGGTCTGAATTTACAGCTGGGATTTTAAGCTGGGTAGGCATAATTATGTTCACAGATAGTGTGGCTGGTGAGCGGTAGTGATTGCCGCATCCACATGTTCAGAGAGGATTGCATCCTTCAGAGCTACACAGAATACCCTGTTGAGCAGTGTTTCCCAGACTTTGTTGGCTTCAGTGGCATTGTCCTTTGGATGGATTTTCTATATTGTAATGGAAGAACTAGGTGGATTTTTCTTTCTTCTTGCCTGCAATTCTATCTGGAGAAATTTTACTCATTAAGCATGTAGTCATTGAATATGTTATGAATGTTGTTCAGGCGAGTGAGTGCATTTGGGTGTGAATCCGGTGAAGTGAGGGTAACAGTGTTTGCAGTGGATCAGATGGAGATCTTACAGACATGGGAGATCACAAACAATGGCCCTGTTCCACAAGTAGCCCTTTTTCAGTTTCCATCTGAGTATTTTGCATTCATTGGTTAGTAAGTTGGCTTTCTTTTTGGGTCTCTTCTTTGTTGCTGTCAACTCACTTGGTTTGTTCTAATTTTCAGACAGAGTGCAGAATGCAGACAAAGATAACAAGGAAGTCCAGCCTGATTTTTCCCTGCTGGTCTGCAACACCTTCCAGGACTCTGCTATATATAGGTTCAGTCTTCACATATACCTGGTTCATTTTCCTTTTGTCTTGGTTGGAGTATGTTGATTTGTTTGTATGCATGTTTAGGGATGTTGGGAAGAATGGTCTTTCAGCAGCTTGCCTGCTCCCCAAAAGTCAGGTTTTTGACTGTGTGACTTGCTGTTGTGTTGTGGATCTGGACATGGATGGAGAATTGGAACTCCTTGTGGGCACATATGGACAGGTCTGTCATGATAATGCAATCGTGGCTATCAAAACAATTACTCTCATTATTGAATTTCAAATGTGGAGAGAATTAGGTACTGGTTGTGGTTTAATAGGAGCTCCTGGTATACAAGGAAGATGAAGGAGAAAAGAAATGGAGGCTGGCATGGAGGAGGAGTTTTGCTGCACCTTTGCTCTCTATCAGGTGTTGTGATGTCACAGGAGATGGCATGCAAGAACTCATAGTCCTTACCACCAGAGGTGTTGAAGTCCTACAGGTGCCAACATTAATTTTTGACATTTTGGACTCTTATCCAATGGTTGAACTTTTGTAACATCTTGCTTGTTTTTTTTTTTTTTTTTTCTAACAGCATGATGTAGAGAAGATTGGAGAATTGCTGGCAAGAAGACTAGAGGAATATTCACATCTCAACATTGGATCCTCAGACCTTCCTGCGATCCCAGAATCTGTGATCACCTCGATGTGAATTCATACTGCCCCTTTCGCATGTCTCATATGTTACATTTATTTTTTATGCACACTTTGTCTGTGATATTGCTGGTAAAGGAAACAAAGATAAAAGTTTCTTGAAAGAGGATAGATAGATGTACTTGGAGTGGTCAGGTAGAGGCAGTTGCATTCACTGTTCTTGATCCAGAAGGAATGGGCTCATCATGACTGACTTCAATCATGGTGTGGTCAGGAAGACTAGCAGCCCTAGTCACACTTTTTGCCTTCCTTGTGAAGTTTTTTTGTTTTTGACATATACAACAATATAGACTGATCACAAGTCTTCCATATTCTCAGCACTGCAGGAGACCTCTTGGCATCACAAATAGCATCATGTTGAAGGTGAGATGGTGCTCTGTATGTGAAAGGGGGGGTTTGATATTTAAAACTATTGTTGGGCAGGTACCTTCTTCAACTGTCTTGGATGGATGGATTGGATCTTTCAATAATTGATCAAGCAGCTTGAATCCTCTTATCCTCTCCTATGTGTATCAATGCCAAGTCTTGTGCTTTTCTCAAATTTTGAAATGTTGGTATCCCTTTTAAGGAAGTGTCCCACAGCCTTACACATCTCTCAAATATGGGTCCTTTATTGTTCAGCCAGTGCCAAAACTGTGTAGCAGTTAATGTTTCACCTGTTGCACTATCTGCCCTTGAAATCCATGAATCTCAGTTGGAGAATGCAGCCCAAAAATCAGTCAGATATTTGTGCTTGATGCTCTCAGCACTTAATGTGTTGAGAGCATCAAAAAAAGTTTGAGGAGTTTTCATCAAAAGCTTCATTATTCTCTTATTTGGAAATGATTAGCCATATTCACTGATAAATTTCAGATGACAACAGAAAGAAGGAGCCTGATATCTTCTCTCTTTATCCTGTTGGAGTATAGTTGAAGAAAATAGGAACTTCAAAGCTCTAAAAGCCTCTTGCCTCTCTTTATCCAAAATAAATTTATTAATGGTAAGATGCTTCATGTACAGTAGTTCCTGCTTTGAGTGTGGAACTTCCAAGCTCTGCTGACTGTTCATTTTTGGTGTGTATTGTAGTTATGTAGATGGAGGAAAGAAACGCACCTTTCCTCCATTAGAGGCTAGTGGAATTTCTTAAATTTTTTTTGGCATAACTTTGAAACTCATACATGAGGAACATCCTGTGAATGAGTGCCATGAATGTCTGAGTCAGTGAAAAATACTGTAAATATATGTTCTCCATATGCAGTTCAAACTAGACATAAATTACCTTTTAAAAAACTTACATAAGCAAAAATAAAACCAGTTTGGGGTTTTATGCTGGAGAGGATCTGAGCCTCACACTTCAGCATTATCACCCATATTGCTGTGTGTAGGCAGCTAGCATTGTGTCTCACACCACTGACCCTCCCTGTATGTTGACATTGGGGCATGTTGATCTGTGGAAGGGTCTGGTGGGATTGGTAACGGGAGCTGCATCAGGACTTGGGCGTGCAACGGCTGAGCGTCTGGTCAAGGATGGAGCCAAAGTTGTCCTATGTGATCTCCCCACATCGCAAGGAGCTGCAGTTGCCACTGCAATAGGAAGCGATGCCGTTTTCGCTCCAGTGGATGTGAGTTAGACTCTTTTGAAAGTATCATTCTCCTGTGACTGTCTTCAAGCTTTCTATACATCCTGACAAGAAGTTGGTTATTGATAAGATGGCTTGGTGTCACTTTTTGAATCAGGTGACATCTGAGGAAGATGTGCAGAAGGCCCTTGAAACAGTGAAGGAAAAGTTTGGAAAATTGGATGTCACTGTAAACTGCGCAGGGATCGGGGTTGCATTCAAGACATATAACTTCCGGAAAGATGCACCTCATAGCCTCCAGGATTTTACCAAAGTCCAAATGGTTTGTGACTCACCATTCAATTCTTCTTGAGAAAAGCATTCATAATTTCCCTCCCTGCACAATCAAGGTCATTGAGTTTGAGTCTGAGAGAGGTTTTCTCTCACTTTTGGTGGCAACTTAACTAGATGGGTCCTTGTCATCAGAAATCAACAAATCTCTGCCAGAATTAGCAATAATTTATTATGTGATCATTCTTGGTCTTGTTTGCAGTGATTTTGTGGAAATGGCATGTCTTTTGCAGAATCTTTCCAGGAGAAAATCCCTTCCAACTAAATCTTGCCAGTGGTTTTGTTGCAGCCCTAATCATTAGCCATTTGCCCATGGAAATATTTAAGTGTTTGGTGATTTAGTTTGAGAAGTAGAACTTCAGCAGTCAGGATGATTTAGGAGTGATGCTGTCTGTTGACATCACCTTGTATATTTGTCTCACAATATTCTTCAGGTGAATGCAGTGGGGACATTCAATGTGATTCGCCTGGCAGTTGGGCTGATGGGAAAGAATGACCCTGGATCAGATGGCCTACGAGGAGTGATCGTTAATACGGCAAGTATTGCTGCATACGACGGTCAGATGGGCCAGGTTGCTTATGCTGCTTCCAAGGGTGCCATTGTGGGAATGACTCTTCCAATTGCCAGGGACCTTGCCAGTCAGGGCATTCGGGTGGTCACCATCGCTCCTGGTGAGATATGCTGACATTTTTTAATATTCTAGAAGAGGCATCCAAACTTGGGATGTTATTGTGTGTCATACACTATACTGCAATTGTTTGTTTTTCTTTTTTGGTATGAGATTGTTAAGCACATGCAAATGTCTCTGTGTGGGTGTCAGGGCTGTTCGATACGCCTCTGCTCCAAGCCCTTCCGGAGAAGGTGCGGATGTATCTGGCCGAGACGGTCCCGTTCCCGAAGCGCCTGGGGAAGCCCGAGGAGTATGCTCAGCTGGTCACTTCTATCATTCAGAACCCCATGCTCAATGGAGAAGTCATCCGATTAGATGGGTCCCTTCGCATGCAGCCTTAGTCTCTGCCATCTGTCTTCCTACCATTCTGGTCACTGTATATGATAGTGCTGTGCATCAACATAATAGATATTGTGGTTTTTGTTTCATTTTCCCAATATTCTGTTGCACTTTTATATAAGAGCTAGAATAAGAAGGATATTAATCCTTTTTTTTTTCTCTTTCCTTGCTCGCTCTATGATTGGCAATTTTGATGAGGTCTAGAGTAAGCCAGAATACAGAATGCCATGTGAGGTCCCACTATCGTCAGCTTTGGTAACTTGGATGTTGGAATGCATACCATACCTATACAGAGAGAGCCGGCAGTTCTCTTAGAATTGGCCTCCACACTGCTCAGTTTGGAAGGGCTCGTATAAAAAGAGATTTGATCAAAGATCTCATCTTCTCTTGATTATGATGCATTTCTGAATGTAAAAGTGATTTGTGTCCAGGTGCTGCAGAAACTTGTGCCTATCTGCTTATGTAAAGTGAAAGTATTAATGAGCTGTGGAAAAGAGGAAGAAGAAGAATTCCTCGAGAATTTCTTCCTGGCATTGAGTCAATTCAACTATGACAAGGCAAAGGAGCAAGCAGTGAGTCTTGATCGCCCCCTTCCACCCCCAGGACCCTTCCCATCATGTAATCATTCCCCATCTGTCCACAGGAAAGGGAGAGGGAGACCGCCAAGCAAAAAGGCTCCATTTGGGTGCCTTTCCTGACTAACTTGACCCAGCTGGCCATGGCCGAGAAGACCTACACCAGCCTGCTCTTCCTCCTTCCAAAAGGATTTCTCAGAAAAGAGGTCCTCTACCGTTCTTCGTCCATTCTCATTAATGCAGGAGAACTTTGATCACTCATACTTCCATACTCAATCCCAAAAATTCATTAATTTATTTTCAAAGCCGCTTTTCCTGACATAATGTTGTTGCAAGAACATACTCAGGCTCAGCAGGTGGAATTCCCAGCCTCTCATGGCATTATTCCGCATTACAGTCTATCCACCTTGCATGAGGCCTACCCTTTGGTCTCCTGCTGGTCATTTTGAATAGGGAGATTCATTTAGGGAACCTCCCAAGGATTGCGGAACACGCATGTCGGAACGACCGGACTTGAGATCTCTTGGTTCAAAAAAGCATCTGCTACACTTATTGTTTCTCACAAATGGCAGCTTGCATCCACGACCACACACTTTCGGTCAGTACCCAGTCGATGGCCATTGGTGAGGCTCGGAAGGTAAACGCAGTTAAAAACCGAGAATTTCGCCTCCTTGGAAATCTCAGAATCGGCAACCACGGTCCGTCGGAGTTTTCGCAAAATTGCGGAAGCCCTGGAGATGCGATTGTTGTTCCCGTGTCGCACGAGAATCGGATCCCCGCATTCTTAAGCTTCTTCACGCGTCCCTGTGAGATCCCCTGACGTGTAAGGTACAGGACTTCTTGGAGGATGCTCTGAAGCTCCTGTCGAGACCGAGCCCAAAAAAGAATGGCTTCGCCGGCAAAGTGAAGTATCTTTAACCCCGATACCACCGATGTTGCCCAGACTGCGCCTGCGGATCCTATCCACGTACGCGAGGGGCAGGAAAGGAGAGCGAACTGACGAAGTCCTTCGCTCATCCCGAACGCAGCCACTGGACTAGGGTTGAGTGGCCAGCAGAAGCCTTTTCGAGATCTGGTACGCTCTCGATGTTTCTCGAGAATCTGCTTAGAGTGGAGAGCGTGTCCGTGACCCTTGGCCGTCCGACGGTTCCCTTTCCCGGCTCATCTGCGTAGACTTGACCCGGTGTGCCGAGGGGACTGATGGGTGCATTGCCTCGGGTCCCACTCGTTAAAAAGTGGAATCACCGATCTGCCGATTCGTAGGTGCCGTCCTCGATCTGCATGCGGTTCGACGCGACGAGCAGCATTGCGTTCAGTGCCGTCCTCTGAGGTTTTCCATTCTTCAAGCCAGCGAAAATACGTCCGATAGGCTTCGGAGTACGTTAAGAGTCCGCCGGTTTTTAGAGCGGCTCTGTGTTCGTTCCGCCTTCCCGTTTCGGTCGCTTACGACTTGAAGAGTACGTTGCCTGCCTCGCCGGAGCCTTCGAATGATTTTTCCAGAACGCTTTCCAGTGCGGTAGACGCGTTCCGTTTCTTCCATGCCTCTCTGTGACACGCCTGCGAAGGGCAAATAATGGGCAGATGCATGCTTTCACTGCCGAAACGACAGGTGAAAATAGATCGTTTTCTGTCTACCTCGAAATCTGGTGAGGCAGTTACGAATAAATTTCGCCGATCGCCCTTGCCAATTTTTTGTGCGTTTTCTCTTCGCGGAGGGGTTAACGTTTCATCCGTTTTGCAACGCGTGTGGCGTTTCGCGTCGTTCTGAGGTTCGCTAACCGCTTGGTGGTGGTCGTCGTTTAATCATTTCGGTCCCAAGGTTTACACTCGCATCAGTTACGAAGTTTCACGTCAGTCGAAACGATCGCGTTGTCGATGTCGATTGTCATATCTGCATTGCAATTTTCAGACATCCACATGTTATGAAAATGTTTATATTATCTCATGCAGAGTTCCCTTCGGAGCATGTATGAGGGGATTCGCAGCGATCTGCAAACCATGGATGACTTCCCCAAAGGGGCTCCCGTGACCTCGCTCGATCGGCTTCTGGTGCACATTTCGGGTCAGCTGGTGCATTTCATCTCGGGGCGAGTGGACATGGTCGGCCTGTGCGTCCGTCCTCATTCGTCTTCGCGTTGAAATCTTGGGTCGATGTGACGGTCGAGTTACGGGTGCAGGTATGAGCACATGAGTGCGATCGGGATGGGGAAGGTGGTGAACTACGACGAGCTGCACGAGGGGATCTCGGGGATCATGCAGGAATACCACAAGCTCTTTCACCATCCGCTCCTCACGCCTCTCAAGTCGTCTTTCACGTGAGTGCAGTCACTGGGACGAGCGAAGATCTTCGTTTGATGGCGCTGAATTGGGTCTTGCTGAAGCAGGTTGGAGTGCGAGAGTCTTTTGCATATGATAGAGGCGCAGAAGGAGATGCAGTTATGGAGGTTCCTTCCTTCCCTCCTTGCATTGCATGATGCTCATACCAAGCTTGCTTCTTGGGCTGCTCTCTTCCAGTCCAAGGAGGTAATTTGTTAGATGTTTCCTTTCCTAGTCTTCTAATTCTCTCTTGTATGAAGGGGTATTGATTCTATCATGTCTAATAGCAATAAATGATGCAGGAATTGCACCATTTCCACAGGGGCGGAAGTTTGGTTCTACGTTTTTCAAGACCAATCAGCAGGAGGCATTGTATCAGTGGCACATACGCTTCAAGGGTGCTCTTGTATCCAAGTTCTCCCTGTATTTCCACTCGATTCTGTCTCGACAGACCTCTGTACCACAGATCAAAACCCTCTTCTCTAGGCTCAGCTGTGACTACTATCAGAAGTGGGGATATTTCTCGCCCAATTTTGACATTTTGGCTTCCCTGTGCATCAAATTGGTGTCAAATTTATTTTTTAGGATAGTGAACTTTCAACACAAGCACGATGCAGTGGCAGTGACACTGGTGCTGGATGCCCATGATCTCCCAGATTACAGAGGATTTGGTTATCATCATCCTCTGATACCTGTGAAATCTCCTCAGGGCATGGAGTCTTTTCCTGCCATTGTTGCCTACCCATCCGTGAGCATCTCGACTCCCTCAGCCGAGCAATGCATACTGATGTGAGGGCTTGGGTTTCATTCTATGCTTCCATTTGTTTTCACAGAAACCTACATCACACTGGCCAAACCTGGTCATGATCCTCTCAGATTCAGCCAGTGAACTGACTGCCATGGAGAAGCCTTTTCTGTCTTTTTATGACAAACAAGTAAGAAGGAATTTGACTGCCATTTTCTTTAACTTCAGAATTTCATACCATCTACTGTTGTGTCTTCCAGGTGGACAGCACGTACTTCTTGGCTCGTATCGAGCCTCGAATCACACTCGTTCTCATCTTCAAGTACAAACACTCTGAGAAGGAAGGGGTGATTGTGAACTTTCTCACAGAAATGAGCCTGCAGTTGCGCTGCAATCGTGTCCTTGCCACCCTCAAGAATGGATGATGCCACATTTTTCCTTTCCTCGACTTGATAATATGAAAAACATTGCATTATTTTGGAATATGAGATTATTTTCTTGGCTCAAAACAAAAAAAGATTCATTTCAACGAAAGGACTATAACACGACACACAAAAACATGGAGGCATTATAAGGGTTTTGAAATGCCCATGGTTTCACTTTCCTTGACCAAGTCCACACATCCAGTACACCAATTGGATGCATTGAAAGAGAAGACACGATTTCATATGGTTCCAAAGCTGAGATTTCCTTTGTACTTGAAGCAGACATGCTGAAGAGGAGCAGCTCATTTTCTTGCTATTCTTAGTTGATAGCAGTCTTCTCTACCTGGCATTCTTGGATGCAAGACAGAAAAAAATTTTACAATATCACCATACCAGTAGATTGGTTGCGGGATTGTGGATGTATTCCCTGTGCACTACTGGTTTCTTGTCCACATGGCATCATGTCACACTCGCAGGATCTCAAGGCATCGGTTGTAGCAGATGGCGATCCAATCCGGCTGTGTCCCTCCCCATTGGATCTGGTTGATCTCGCTCTCGGCGGCCGTGTAGGCAAGGATGGGGTCTTCGATGGATCGTGGCATCTGCTGGATGTCCCAGATCAGTGCCTGGTGGTCATCACCAGCCGTGCAAATGTGGCATGGAGAATGCGGGGCCCAGGCGATACCATTCACACAGGCTCTATGGTTGTTCAATCTGGCCACGGGTCGACATGGTACTCTGACGTCCAGGATGATCACCTATCGGGAGAGTGATGGGATTTAGTTCTGAATACATTAAAAGAAATGAAACTGAAGGAATGCTCAGAGATAAACACTCACTTCACAAGCATCCATGGCAATTGTTGCAAGATAGTTTGGATCTTGCTTGTTCCATGCCAGGCGAAGCAGAGGCGTGTGTGTTGGGTCCTCGTAGATGATGGTCGAATGCTCCAGGTGACGTAGGTCGAACATTCTCACCGATCCGTCGGCACCTGCCCATTCGAAAGGGACGTGCAGGTAACGTAATATAATTCCAGGTTTAACAAATGATTGCATTACTCACCAACTGATGCAAACATGTCCCTTCCGCCACCAGCTCGACTGAAGGCTATGTCGTAAACCTCCTTGTCGTGCGCGATCAACTGCGTCTTGACGTGCCCGTTCACGTGACTCCTCTGACCGAGGACCTTGACGAGGGTAAAGGAAACTGTGTGTAAGAAGTTTGTAGAAAGGGCAGGCTTAAATTCACAATTTAAGGGTTTTACCTGACTTGTCTCCAGCCCCCAGATGGTACAAGTCGTATCGATGCTGGACGTTCCGATGATGTTCGGGTCCACTTCGTTCCAATCAAAGGATGTTAGTGGTGCACAAAAATCACTGTTTTTGTTCTGAAAAAATAAAGAGAAGCAATCATGAGGGAACATTTTCCCTCGCAAAACAAGGAATCAATAGCAAAACCCAATCATTACATTGTTGAGGAGAACTTCTAATCTCGTCTCGGGTTCTCCTGCCCTCCAGACCCGCAGGTAGTCTCCGCTCGTGGCCAGCAGGTCGGGGCATATCCCTTTCTGAAATTTGAAGCGGGTCGAGATCATCCAAATGCTCTGATGGTGAATGACCTTATCGCTTGAGGCGACATCTGACCGTGTCTGGGATCCACATGATTTTTGTGGTCGGGTAAGGGTGTTCGAAAGTGGACTTGGCCGAGAACTCCGAGGTGTCCTCGTCGAGAGACACGATCTGAACCTTGTTGTTGTATTCCTCCACGAAGCTTCCCAGGGCCAGCCTGCAATGCCAATCACGTTTCGGATCAAATTTCCGTCCTCGCTATAGCCGAAAGACTAAAAAGCGCCACTAACCTGAATCTCTTGTCCGGTCGAACGGACCAATTCATGCTGTACAGGGGCCATGGTGCCTCGTATTTGTAGATTTCTTTCCGTTTCGGGGGCATGGCGTGGACGGCCATGGCTCCCGGTGAGAAAGACGATTCCTTGCCGAGATCGGAGGACGCAGATTAGTTTGTATGGTATTCGATGGCCGATGGAATTCCCGATGCTTCAGCCGGAGGCGGACATGTTGGGTAAAGGGGGAATGGCGTCACTGGCATGGGGATGTCCTTCTTCCCAGTCTTCGTGCATCTTCGGCGATCGGGATGTCTGGTAGCTCTCTGCACTGGTGTTTCTTCGTAAGAATGTTCAGTTTCTTCTTCGTCGCCCTGTGATAATGGATGGCATGCAGACGGACGGCGAGTTTCAGCTCCGGGACTTCGATGTCAAGGTGAGTTCTCATGCCTCACCACACTTTTTCGTTTTTGTTTTTTATTTTTTATTTTATTTATATATTTCAATGCACTCGCGCCAGCCTTTTTTTCGAGGGGAAGTGAATTTTTTTTTTTCAGCAGCATTTTGTCGGCGATTGCAGAAACGATAACGTTAGGTCTACGTGGGAGCTAAAAGTTGTCGTGACAAAAAGTCCCGTCTCATGCACAACTCTCATAAAGGGCCTTCAATACACCTTCGCCTCTGGAAAAATTTCAATTTGCACACTTTTTCCTTAACTTCCTTCGTGTTCAGCGGCAAACGAATCCTTAGTAATGAGTGTTGACTTGTTAAGGGTCTTATGTAACTGTAATTGATGCATGCAACGGCGAACCACCACTAATATCTTTCCACACAAGTAGTTTTCATTTCTGGGAAAAGATTTTGAGCCTGTGGCATGGTCTTGTACTCAGAGCGTGCATGCTTCCAATTTCCAGTTAAAGTCATGTATTGCCTTATTGGTACCAAGGGACAAGGAAGTACATTGTTCTTATCTGCTGTGTCATATCCTCGGAGGTGAGGCCAAGCCTGTCATTTCAGAGGGTTTCTGGGACCTTATTTTTGTAGGCCTTTTGCATAGGCACAGTGATATACAGTATGGACTATCTTGCCAGTATGAAGTGATTGATTTTGGTGCCCATGTCTACCCAGTTGCAAAGCTGAGAAATAGGCAATACAATGTAGAGCTGCAATGATTGTGTCCCCCCAACCTAATGAAAAATGGAAATAAGCAGTTTTATAAATATAGGATTTCAAATAAACACTGACATGAGCCATCATATAAGATATTGTGCTGGTATTGAAGGCACATGGGACAAATTTTTTTCTTAAATTGAAAATAGAATATGCACACTTTTGCACTAGCAGCTTGGTGAAATCCATGAAAGAAGATCCCTATTCATCTTAGGTCACTCCCAGCATCCACCAATGGCCCCCAAGCAAATTATCCTGAGGCTTACATCTTGTCTTTATTCCTCCTCTTTCCTCCTTCCACGTCCCATGTTATCCCTTTCACTGCCATTGGCATCTCCTGATGCCTAAGAGTTGCCATTGCATCCTTGTTGCCAATGAGGAAACAAACTCCTTTAGTTTGCTTTTTCAGAGACTAAAGTAATTTCTGTAAGTGGTGCTACATCAACTCAAAGATGATTGTTTGCTATTTGCAACCTCGATCTACTGAAGATGTGGCCTTTGCAGAGAAAAAGTCTTCTGTTAGTGTAGTTGAATGAAAAGTGAACTATTTAAGACAGTTGTTTCTGGACTCTCATCATTTTATTACTGTTTCTTTTCAGGTTAAAACTGCCTTGTCATTGTTTGATTCAATGACAACAGAAGTGAAGCTCCAGGCAGTGGACATCTGGAACTCAGCATCTGAAAGAATTCAAGACCTTGTGCAATTAGCTGAGAAGTCCTTGAGCAGAATTGATTTTCATCACTCCAAGGTCTGCATGTCATAATTTGGTCAAATTCTTGGCCAAAAGCCTGCTATAATGAAATATATGCTCTTGAATTGCTTTACAAAAAATATGCCTTCATGCAAGCCTTTAGATTTTGGTGATGAGATTGTGAGAATTCATTCTGATCCTTTTCCCTCAGCCAATGCAAAATGGGGACTTGGGTAGCTCACACATAAACTTGAGCTATGAGGCTGCCCTCTCGCCCAGTTATGAGACGCAAAATCTTTTGATGCCTGGAGATGCACTCTCTCCATCAGTGCAAGTCCAACAGGTCCATGTTTCAGAGATGGTCAAGCATCAGAGGACATCATTCCATGCATCCTGCTCTTCCGTTCATCCCTCCTGCAATGGTGTGTGTTCATGTCTGCTCACTGTTTTGGCAGGGTTGAGGCATTCTCACATATTGATGTAGGGACTGGCACGAACATTTTCTTAATGGTATTTGCCTGCACATTCTAGGATTGGGGAATGAGGCTCTGGACAACATTGATATTGAGAGTAAGAGCTTGGAAGGATCAGGAAAGAATTCTCAGTTCCTGTTCTTGAACGGCATGGGCCTCACTGCATCTGCGGAAGAGGAATTCTTGACGCAGTCTCCTAACAATGAGGCTCTGATGTCACAAGAATCCCAGTCAAGCAATGCTGCTTTCATTCAATCCATCCTGACCAGTCAGCTGAATCATGGGATCATGGGGGAAGATACCAGTGAGGGCTCTGAGCTTAGGGCTGCCATCTGCAAAAACTTGGCAATCCAGGTATTTCAAAATGGCAATCATATGCAATGTGCATAATGCCTTGCCATTTTTTCCAGATTGCTGTGGATGTGATGGAATCACATGAATACTTTTATTACAGGTGAATTCTCAGGAGGATCTGGGAAGTTTTGCCGATCCTGAAAAAAAGGAGGAGGAAAAGGGATGGGTGGATGAGACCCAAGAAGTGGGAGGATCTGAATTTGTCATGGCTCATGACCAAATCCCAGCATCTGGCATCCTGGAAGAGCGAATTCCAGATGCGCATGAAAATTTGGTTTCCACTTGTCAACAAGAAAGCCAGCTACAAAAATCGAACAAGAAGCGTAAGGAGCAAAAGGCACCCAGTGAAAATAAGAAGAACAGAAAAAAGATGAATGTAAGTTTTTTTTTGTGCAGTTCCAATGCACTCAGGGTTGTCTGTGGCATGAAAAAATGGGAAATTTATAAAATACCAGAAGTGCGTGAAAGTGAAGAAAATGAGCAGAATTACACCAATAGTTTCTTATGATGGAAGTGGATTATTGTATAGGGAAGGTGGGTTTCACATAAATATGCAAAAGCTTCTACAACATGACCTGGAAAAGTCTGAGAGATTCATTCTCAAAATTTTTGGAAAATTTTGGAGAACCCTGACATTGGTTTACCCATCATATGTTGTTTCAAGTGTCTGAATGTGAAATTCCCCTAGGACTCAAATTTGCTGAGTGAGATGGAGGACCTGAACCTCGAGGAGCTAATTCCCCCAGATGCATATGAGAATTACTTCTCTGAGGTTCAGACCCATGATGGAAACATGGCATGGAGATGCAAGGAATGCAACAAAATTTTGAACACACAAACTCAAGTGCACAGTGAGACAACCTTTCTTGGAATTCCATGATCCCGTGTTACTTCTCAGAGGAAAAAATAGATTGGGCGTGTGCACTTTGGTTACAGAGCACCTGTTGACTCACCTGAAGCTGTTTCGGTGTCCAACCTGCAATGCACGCTTTTCCACCAAAGCGAATGTCAGAAGTGAGTTCAAGGGTCCTCTCTTTACTGTTATTTGAAGTGAATGGTCTTGCATGTGAAGTTTCCTCCACTTTGCAGTTCACATGAGGACACACACAGGGGAGAAGCCATACCGCTGCAACGAGTGTGGGAATGTGTTTGGTACCAAGGGGAATCTAAATAGGCATCAGCAGATCCACAGAGGGATCAAGCCATTTGTCTGCACCGTCTGTGGGAGCTCTTTTGGCGAACGCAAGAGTCTCAACATCCACAAACGCATTCATACTGGAGAACGCCCTTACAGGTATCTTTTGGGGTGCCCTTTTATGCTCTGTCTGGCCTCTTACTGGTCAATCCAGGCTTGCTTGAGGGAAAGGTGAAATTCACCTATGTGATGCACAGGTGCGAGTTGTGCGGTCGGAGCTTCACACAGTCAGGAGTGCTTCAGGCTCACCTTGCCATTCATCTGCAACAAAAACCTCATCTCTGTGACATGTGTGGGAAAAGTTTCCGCCAGAAGACCCAGCTTCTCGTTCATTACAGGCGGCACAAGGGGGATGCCAGTTTCAAATGTCACGAATGTGATGCCAAATTTGTCTCCAAGGGTGAGAAGACCCCCCTCTCATTAAGATAGAATTATTAACTGGAATATACCAAAATATATGATTCTCTCTTCCAGGAGATTATCACCGACACCTTCAGTCCCATACGGGAATCAGACCATTCACTTGTGATCAGTGTAACAAGTCTTTCACTCGGCGACAGAGCCTCAGGGAGCACCTGAATCGCCACCTCGGCATCAGGCCGTACAAATGCCCTGTCTGCACTAAAGGTTCATTCCTCTCCTCCTTTAATTTATTGCAGTAGCAATATTTCTTTGAGTGACCCTTATATTTGAACACAGTTTTACCCTAATTTCAACCTCTTGTAGCATTCTATGAGCTATCGGGGTACTCAAAACACATGAAGTTACATGTGCGAGCTGAGATGAAAGCAGAGGAGGAAGAGCATGAGGATGCCTCCCTGTTGAGTTTTGTCCTCCCAGAACAAGATTCCTTGACAGACGATGGTGGTGGGGGACAACAGGGACAAGGTCAAGTTCATGGGCACGAGGCACACTCAGAGGAACCGGGAGATCCTGCAGCTTACCAGAATCACGAAAGTCACGAGCAGCATGGCCAAGGAGGCTTGAATGGCACCATGGAGGATCCATGTCCCATGTCCATTCAATCAAATTCTCTGAGTCTCACTGCGTGTGGGTCATCTCACGTCTTCCAGGTGCGTCTGGTTTCCTTGTCAAGTTGTCTTGTACTGCCTTGAAAAGCTTTTTTTCAAAGTTTCTTGGTTTTCTTAATGAAACAGGTGTTCAGTTCGGGGATGGGAGGAACCTGCATGGGGCAAATGAGCAATAACTTTGTTCATGAATTCCCTGGATCATCAAGTGATTTGGGCATGCCTATGGCAGTGGGAATGGGTGGGACTAATGACCTTCTCTTGACCTGTTTGGACTCACCTGACCAGAGAACTTCGTGGCAGTCATCGACATCCTGACGACCCACTCACATCCTTTTTGTTCAATCAAAATCTCACTCACAAGCTGTGGGGGGATAAGTGATGCAAAAGTGATATCCATTGTGATATTCATCATTTTCGGCCATATTGTGCTGCTTTATGCATCTGCACATTAAGATTGTTGAAAGAACTAGGTCTGTTCCAAAGTGGGGGGACTAGATGAGGGGAGTTATCCCAGGCTTTTTGCTGGAGTCAGAACATTTTTGTCTTTGTGGAGGTGCATTTAGACCTCGTGGAGTCCTAATCAAGATCAGAACCAGGGGCAGAAACATTTTCTGTTGGAAGTAGGGCTTTGAAGGAATCGAAATGCACTGGATTTATTTCCAGGCCTGGGCATGTATTCAGAGCTCCTTTATTTTCCTATGAACCTAGATTGAGTATCAACTACTAAGTTTTAAACTCATGCATTCATGAACACATTTCTTTGTCATAGGTTTGTTGCTATCCATGCTTGAACTACTCCAGTAATACATGCCTATCCCTTCTGTAATATCAAATGTTCTACAGATTCTGTTGTCAAACAATTTCAGTAAGAGAAGCAACATGTAATGGATCTTCTCCCTAGAGAAAGGCTTGAGTAGCTGGCAATAATACCATCCTATCATGTTGTTACTTTTACTTATCTATGGAAGTTCTGAATTCATGTCCATAACTTGGTAGGATCATGTGAAACCTTTGCTTGCTCAAGGTCAGACTTTAGCAATAATTTTAATGATAAAGTTTGGTCCAGTAACAAACTTGTAGTTGTTGTAATTCCTCTTGATCCTTTCCTATTCCCCCCATCAAGCTTTGAATATTCTCATATGTCACCTTGGCTCATTGAAGACACTTCAGTCCTTTGGCATGAGCAGTGTTCAATGGTAAATTCAAAGACAATATTAAACAGAATACACTTAACCAATGTAGGGGTCAAATCCTACTGGTGTCATCTCTTTCACTCTACTTTGGTATCCCTCTACTTAATAAAGTCATCCAGCCACCAATTGTTGAACTGTAACAGCCTCAACATGTTAAAAACTGAGAGTGAAGGAAGGAGAAAGAGATTTCTCACTTTCTTATCTCAATTGCTTCGTATTAGGCAATGTTATACTATTTATTTCAAAATTTCATTCTATTCATTTGTTTCTATTCTCTCTCAAAGCCCTGCTTGTGAACAGACAATGGTTTTGGATCAACAGAAGAAGAAGAATATAGCTAAAGAATTGCCTGAGTTTAGCTCCTGGAGACAGACCTGAAACTTCTACCTATCAGTGTAAACAAGAGTTTGCAAGACTTGAGTGGAAAAATTCATCAGCTTGAGGAAATGACATTTGGTCAATCCTTGGGTTTCTTTTTGAAATAATCTAGGAATCTTTGAAATCTAGAAGGCACTATAACAAGCCTGTGGATGAGCCAAATATTCCCTCGCTTTCCTCTTGTCACATTTTCATCTGAGGAATCAAACCAGTCCAAGGTTCTTGGTTCTTTAACAACACCCATGTAAATCACTTTGAATGGTTTGAGCTTTGGGCCTGATGTGAAAACTGGAAACTTGCTCATCACATCATGGGCTCTTCTGATTCTAATAGTAGGCCTTGGGAAAGAAATGATATCTTTCAAGTTTTTCATGAGTCTTTCTTCCGAACCCTCTCCCAATGGTCTTTCCAACATGTACCTATGCCAACAAGTCGTGATTCGGTTCCCCGTGAGGAGTCAACCTTACTTTCAGTATCATCTTTGCAGGGGTAGTAGTTTTCCATAGTTCTGTCATTGGACAACTGGACTGTAATGACTTGTAAAAGAAAAAAAAAGAAAATGCAAATTGTGAATTCAATTCTTTGCTGTCTCTAGAATTGTGCTTCCAGAATCAAATACATTCTGCTTGTGAAATTGAATCCCTGTTACTGTGAGAGGGAACTCTGTCTCAGTTTTGTGTAAGCAAGCTTCATTCACAAATGCTTGTGATAAATTGTATCACAGATGTTCATCTCCTGTTGTCCTAATTAAGTCTTGTTTCAGATTGATGTCTCCTTGTTTTCCATATTTTACCAAACTCATCTGTATTTGCATCACATACCTTTGGACATATTCAGTCCTTAAAGAAGTGAAATGTCTGCCCAGGTCAATAGTGGCAGTTCTGGTTGCTAAATTTGATGTCTTTTATGTTGCTTCATTTCTCATTTCTTTCTCTTTGTATATCATGCAATTTTTGCTTATGGAGAGAGCAGGGCAAAGTTACATTAGAAGTACCAAGGCTCAGTCCCCTAGAGTCTACTTGCCTCTGCTTCTATCATAAGCATCCAGGATTTGAACACACTAAAATGGTGAGTGGAAAAAGAAGTTAAGGATGGGCTACATTTCATAAGTAGAAATTCACATCTTCCACGTTGAATCGTCTTCGAGGAGTATGGGTAAGAAGTGAGGAGAATCAAAATTGAATAATTACAGCAGATGCTGTTGCTGAGTGTGATCCCAAGAAACCTACCAGCCATTCTTTTGAAAGAATTTTCAGAAGACTAAGAAATTGTCTTATGTTTGGCATAATGACAAGAGCATTGAAAGCCTTTCAGTGACTTGGTTGTGCTACAGTATTGCACAGTGACTTGCTTTGTTTCAAATTCAAGTAACAGAACATTCAGCAATATTCTGAGAGAATATCATGCCATCCAATATAGTTACTCTTCAAGATGCAGTTTTCACTTTAAGCACTTTGATTAATAGAAACTGCTGGAAGAGTGAGTGTAATATGCTTTTGTAAACATGGTTTAGCCTTTGAATCATGTAGAACTGTATAGTTAGAAAGATGTTCTTTCCAAATATGAAAATGGGCTAAAAAAAAATCACTTATTTTACTCCATTAAATGCTTAATGTATGCTTGATTGCTTATTCATATTTCAATTGGCTCATAGCTTGCTTTCTGAATCAGGGGTAGAAAACATTCTTTGGTGTGAAAACATATGTTAGATGTCATGTTTTCTCAATGGAATAACATAAGTTTTGCAATTAATTATTTATAAATGTAATTAAATTTGCAGCCATCCAAGCCACTGATTGCTTGCTCAGATGCTAAGAAACCTTTTGCCACTCATGTCCTTGGCTCAATTGCAACTGAACTAGAATTCAACTGAGAGGGATTCGGACCGAACCTGGGATTTTTTAATTCATGGACTCTCCTCGTATGTTTTCTACGAACTCTGTCAGCCCAGGTTTGGTGCTGGATTCGTCAACCAGTCCAATCTTATTCAATGGATTTATTATTAGGTGAATGCAATGGATATTGACTGCTGGTGATATGGTTTGTGGAAAATCATGTGGAAATGTCTAAGGTATCCTTGTGATATCATGACTTCCAGTGCATCACACTATCACCTTAATGAAGGTGATAATGTGCTATCACTGTGGTACTGTGATATAATTTTTGGTTATTTTTTCTTTATTTCTTTCTCACCTATGTCTATATATCTCAGACTTCTCTTCTACTACTGTGATCTTTTTTTATATGTTTGTAGCGTAGTCTTTGATAGACTTGATTCTCGTGTAGAATCTCGATGCAATAGTTGAAAGCGATGAGAATAAAAGATAAGCCTTGATTCTGTACTTCGTTTCTTTTTTAATCCTCAGATGTGAAGAACTTTCAGATGGAAAAGACACAGGAGGGCTTTGGGAATCTTTATTGACTTCTCTCAACAAAAGAGAGGAAAGGCTACCCATTTTTGCATAGAGCCCAAGCAGGCAACTTCATGCGAAGGGATATGGGATTCGATCACATTCTTGAGAAGTCCACTCGATTGGGTCCTTTGGCTTCTTTCATGCCTTATGGACACATTTTAAAAATAGTAATGATGTCACACATTCTGGGCCCCTTGTATAAGGAAGAGGCCATGCGGACGAAAACAATAGAAAAAATATTTGTGAAAGTTTGCATGTGGAAAAGTGAACAGATGGTGAGGCCCATTTAATGGAGACCTTTGGGTTTCTCTCTCTCTCCTTTTTCGCATGCAGACTTCATAAATATTTTTACTTTAGATCCCTTCCTGTTCTCTCGGTAACGGGTAGCCAAAACTCCCTGATGACTGACGTTTATCAACAAAGAGGAAATGACTCCATGTAGGATTCCTCCAATGTTGAGCAGTCCATCTCAATATTTGTGCTTAATCATTAAAGGCTACAACCCAATGTCATCATCCCATGCCAGCATGGTATTCATGGGCTTCACATGGCAACTGGAGAAGTTTCTCAGTTTCTCCTCTCTGATGTGCGCACCGGCAGTCCACGGTCGTTGACGTGGGGGCCGCGTTTCCACAGCACCATTTTGTATCACTGAAGACATGTTTCCATTTCTCATTTCCAGGTCTCTTGGCCTGAGCGATATTTCCTCTTCCTGGTTGGCTTTCCTGTTCCTCAGCTGATCTTTGTTCACCGAAGCGCTCTTCACTCGACGATTCACCTTCCCCTTCCTCTCTCGAGCTGTGGCAAACTTGGAGGCTCTTTCCTTGGACTTGGGAGTCCCTTTGGGGGATTGTTGCTTCTGGCTGGAAGGAGGCGTCGTGTCCTCTGCCGTTTCTGCTGATGGAGCTTTTTCTCCGACGTGCAGACTGTAAAGGTCCGTGTTCACTGTCAAGTACTTCTTGGAATCGCGGAACTTTTCACTTCCGTCATCATCCATAAAGGCCAAATTGTCGACTCCATCGTGGAACTCCTTGACTCTCATCACATTCTTTGAAGGCTTTTTCTTCCCCTGACCCTCGCCTCTCTCGACAACAATCTTGGGCCTGACCGGTTTTGGCAAATCATTTCCCTTGATGTCAGAATTGAGAGGTTGGGGAGAGGCAGCTGCTTCGCTTGCTAGCACCGACGAATCCAAGTTGAGGTCGTTCGCAAAGGCCAACTGGGACAAGGCATTTGCCAGACCACCTCCAGTACCACTGTTAGTGTTGGTGGGAGTGGCGGCGATGGCGGTTTCCCCAGTCCGACTGAGGTCCAGGTCATGCTGCCACGCCAATTGGTTGACGGCATCTCCCAGCCACGATGGAGCACTGGTCGGCACCGTCGTGTTCCCATCGCCTTCCGTTTCACACCTGAAAACGAAGACACGTCATCGCAGTCCCATCGAACGAGCCAGACGAGAAACAGAATGCAACCAGACCCGAAGGCATTGGCAAGGACGGCAGCCCCAGCCGAAGGAGGCGGAGGCCCTCCACCCCCGTTCCCTCCGTCGGGGTCCTTGTTGAGGATCCTCCTTCTCAGCTCGGCTGCTCCGCAGCCCTGCTTCCTAAGCTCGTCTATGATGATCCGACCCACTCTCTGCACACAGACAGAATTTTCGTCAACCGTATGCGGAATGCTAATTAGTTTTCTTTTCATTGGGAATATTCATGAAAATGCTTTGAAGGTTTGAATTGCCATAATTAGTGTGAGAAGCACATTGGCAAACAATATTAGGAGTTTCCCCTAGAATGAATCTCATGCAAATGGGTAGATTATCATCACCCTGCCTCTCCGCACTCCCCCACCCACCCCCTTTTTTTAATTCAAATATATCGGAAAGGAAGGGACGAACAGACCTTCCAGTTCGAAAGCGCTCCCTTCCGCTGTCTAGCTCGAGTCTTGTTCTTGCTCTTGATGACCATGACCGCCCGCTGCTCCGTCCCGTCCTCCGCCGCCCCGCCCAACTTGATCGAGTAGGAGTAAAGGTGCTCCTTGGCCTTCGACTTGCTCTCGGCCCGCTCCAGGTTGATCACGATGTTCGCCCACTGAGACGGAATTCGCTCGGTTGCATCCCAAATGGATCCATCTGCTCGGTGTGAGGGAGACTGACCTGTTTGACCCATTCCTTCTCGCTGCGCTCGATGACCGAGGCGTAGGTGTTGCCCATCATGGCGATGAGCATGTTGAGCAGCAGGATGGGGACGAGGACCATGAAGATGCCGAAGATGAAGGTCGTCAGTATGGGGTAACTCGTGAGGTCGTGATCCATCTGGTTGGGAACGGAGCGATTCCGAGAAAATTTTCACACATGGTCGATAGAAATTCAGGGTGGATTTTTGAACAGAATACTATCCGATAATGCAGCTTTATTTCAGAGAAAATGCGTGATAAATCTGGTAAATAAAGCTGCACTAACGGCCTGCGGCCGCTACGCTGGCCGTCTAATAGGTGGAAATTCGAACCGTCTATTGCGAGCATAACGTCTCCTTGACAATCCTGTCAATGGCATTACCCATTCGGAACTGAACCGCTTCATTACATTTATACTCATATAGCTTACAGTAGACAGGGAGATTCTGTTCAAAAATCCACCCTGAATTTCTATCGACCATGTGTGAAAATTTTCTCGGAATCGCTCCGTTCCCAACCAGATGGATCACGACCTCACGAGTTACCCCATTACCGATTAGCTCATGTGCTATTAGCGTTAGCATATAGTACAGACAGTAGTAGTAATGATTCTGAAACAGTACGGACCATTTCCAAGAACTTGTTCGAAGGCACAAAGGGAATTTAGAATTTAGAACACGTGCGGGCGGCACAATGCTAGCGACTAATTCCAGAAAATACCTCGCCACCACATTACCCTGAGGCTCTGAAAATGTTGCTCACTGGTGCTAAAGCGCGAGTTGCAGCAGGAGCATTTTTCCGTTGTGAAACAAACGCCTCCTCCCTACATCAAAATGCACAGCTCCCAACGTGCAACAGTTGTTCATCAGTCATTCTAGCCATCATGGCTAGACCTCTTTCAACATTTTTTTTCCACGTTCAACCTCACCTCGCAAAAATCGCTACAATTTTGATGGGAGGAGCGGCCCGTTTGCGCGACGCATGAAACAAAGAACTTACGTTATTATTTTGATTTCATCAATCATGAGAACTCAAATAAATCGGCCATGACAGGAAACGCAAACAGAAAACTATTGCATGGATGTGATGTCCCGAACCGCCATGCCTGACCTAACGGAAAAAAATAAATAAAGAAAAAAACTTTGATCGACACAGCTAAGTATGAAGCCTATGGCTCAGACTGATATAGCTCATTGGACCTGGCGCTAAAAGCGTTGGATGACCTATGACCTATGACCCAGCCTATGACCCAGAATGGCATTGCATCGTAGGCCCGCACGTGGGGGTGACAGCCACGACCACGACCACCACCGCAATTTTTGACCTCTTCGAATTAAAGTATTAGATTATCGGATAGTGCTCTGCTCAATAATCCACCCTCAGGCTTTTCCTTCGGTCTATCGTGGAAATTTCTGCTGAAGAACATTGAAGGGACGATATGCCTCGCAATTGTAATCCTGCACGAACAGGGGGGAAAAAACGCACACATCTTACAGCAGAAAATACCGAAAAATGGCATCTTCACCTGGTACTCTCCGAGGGTCATGTGGAACAACCCCATCCAAGTGGAGAAATAGTCGGAAAAGTACGTATCTTTCACATCCTCGTGCCCCATATAGAGGAAAAAGAAGGCCTGGGTGAATGCAAGCAGCATGATGGCATAGATGATGGCAAAGGTCAACATATCCCCCGTCACCATACTGTAGATCATCGTCACGAACGGACCCGTCAGCTTCACCGCCCTGCATCAAACCCCAAATAACATATTTATTTGAATCCCCCCATTGATTTGCCATCATTCCCGATGGGGACCGAGCCCACGATTGAAGGGCAAGGAAGAGGGAAGGGGAATCGATGCGGTTCCACTCCTACCCCTTGTTGGGTCGATGTGACCAAACCGACCTCCTTTCCTCTTCCACCCTCGCATGTCCCTTTGATGTCGTCGTCCCCCCCCCCCCCCCCGGCCCCTATCGCCCCCATCTCGGGTCATCCAGGTCACCAAAATGCCAAAAGCCCATACCCGGCGAAGAACATGAGGAAGAACCAGGAGCCCGGCGCCGCGATGGCCAGGATCGCCTCCTCCACCTGCCTCGTCCACGCCGACCCCGTCAACAGCTGCGCCACCCTCAGCGGGACGCACGAGATGATCAATACGTTGCTCAACAAGAAGATTGCCTTCTCCGGCGAATGAGCCTAAAGGCAAGAAAGCATCTATTCCCCTGCACTCCTTCAAGGTCAAGGTCAAGGTCAAGTCACCCACCAGATTCCTAAGAAATATGAAAAAGCCCTGATTCCGGATCTCCCCTCCCTGCTGAAGGAAGCAATAGATGCAGCATCCGAGGCACGACGCGATCTCGAACGAGTATCGTGCCACGTCCAACTCCGACGTGTCCTCTCCGTCCGAGTCGCTCTCGCCCCGAAAGTAGATGGCGCCCGTGAGCGTCAACAAATGCAGGAACATGATCACCAGTCGCTTCAGGAAATTCCTCTGTCGCATAAAAAAATAATTCGTCATATTGCAGCATCGCGTGATTTTTTTTTTGGGACTCCAGCTGATCAGTCAGGAAAGTAATAAAAAAAAATTCTGAAATTAAATAAATTCATCGTGTTAGCGTCCCCCAGCCACGTCTGACGCCACAAGGATTCGGTTGGGGAAGGGTCAGAGGGCACGGACTCGATGCCAGTGAGGGTGCAGTTTCGTAAAATGTAGACGTTTTGCAAGATTGTTTCCTTTCACCATCGCTTTTTTTTCTCATTGTTTACACGATTTCATTCTAGAATCATTTTACAATCCCATTTCCATTCCTTGATTGAAGCGCGGAATTGATTGTAAAAAGAGTGAACAACTTCAAATAAATAAATAAAAATCTGGCATAACTGAATGCACGCGGGGGGGGCAAACGGGGGCAGGGCGGGGGCGAAAGTGGAGCACGGTACATGTAAGTGTAATTTATCGCGTCGGTAAGAATTTCGTGTGAGGATGATAGCCCAGAGAAAAAAGAGAAACTGCTACTTACGTCATGCCATTATAAGTTCCGTGGCATAAGCGTAGCGTGGGTGGGAAAAGTGCGTGGGGTAGAGGGGGGCAAGAGGGGGAAGGGGGGGCAGGGGGCACATGCCTCTCGGTCTGGTGGGATTTCATTCGTGCCATTAACATTATCATTAACGCAGATGTCATTAAGAAAGATGCTAGTGGTATTTGTTGGTTTCACGTTCCCGGAGTTTCCTCGCTTTCCTTTTCGAGGCTTACGGGATTTCTGGACGGCCCGAACGCTCCTGCCAATTTCTGCTTCGGCCAATCTTTAGCTGAAATTTCCATACCTGCGAACATCTCGGCTCACTTTATGCTTTCATGAATTTTTTTAAAGTTCGTATGGTGCGAATGGGAGTCGGAACAACAGAAAATGTCTAGATAGAGCTTATGCGTGAGTGGAAAATCTCGACACGATGAGAGGATGATCTGTCGAAATGGCAAATACTTGCAAATTTTCGCGAGAACCTTCCTGCAGGCTGAATAATTATCATTCCTCAATTATCATTCCTCGATTATCATTCCTCGATTATCATTCCTCAATATTCTCCCCTGCACCGATTCTCCTGAAAAGTTTTCACGATTTTTCGCTCGCCATTTTACAAGATCATGGACGATATGACGTCACTTTTGCGATTTGGCAAGCGTTCGCTTTACTTGCCAACAGTTGATGCCAACAATAAGATGCCGCTCCGAAACGTAATCGAAACGAAAACATCTAATTTAAAATATATCCACGTAACACAAATAACGTGTGTACAAGAATGATATGACGTTGCCTGTCTATCGTCAGATTCATTTTGCAATCGATGCCAAATAGATTACCTCACGGAGCGACGTCAATAGATGCCATTTGAAGGGTGAGTCACGCGTGAGCCTGAGAGTCACACGTGCGAGGATATGAATGTCCTTGTGCGCGCTTGCCAATTCAAATTTCCACGATTGGCATCCGAATAGACGCTTGAGGACATTCTTAATGGCTCGTAGTCAACTTTATTCAGCGAAAAAAATTTACTTTTCGTTAGGGTCGAGACAGTCGGTATATAAAATAGTGGAATTATGTTTCAGGCATGAGAAAATATTTTAATTAGGTTCTGTGGATTCACCAAGGACGCGGACACGCTCTCTAAAAAAATCGTTAAAAATTAGACCGAGTTTAAATTTTAATTCTAGAAAATTAAAGTATCGATAATACATATCATCCAAATACATTAGTTCTTCTAGCATAAAAAAATTAGTTTCTGCAGTATATTTCTCGACGTTTCCACGCAAATTTCCGCGATCTAACTCGCCAAAACTTAGAACATTTAAATACCTACAGACAAACTGCAAACAAATCTTGCTTAAACCGTTGTGGCAAGGCAGTCATTCCCCGGCGAAGTTCCACGATCTAAACAACGACCACCGAGCATGGAAGAAGTTGATGGAGAGCGATTGCCGCAATGCGTGCGTGGGTGGACCCCGAACGGAAGGATTGGCATTGGAAAACCCGTGCCGTTTCCACAGGGGGGGAGGGGGGGGAAAGGGGAAAGGAGAAAGGGGGAAGGGGGAAGGGGGGTGGACGGCACGCGATGAGCAAAAAAAAAGCCGACGTTAGTGCGGCTGTGTTCATTTCCGCTGCTATCTCATCGGTTAAGCACGGAAAAAATCAGCTGACCGGATCGGAAAAACATTTTGGGGCCACGTTGTCCCCCCCCCCTTCTCTCACATGAATGCGCAATTCTTTTTGGCCAGGACGCCAAATTGCGCTTCTGCTCGCACCGTCTTCCCCGAGCCAATGCCAAGACTCTCGAGGCCGAGCCGACTCGCATTTTGCAGGCCTGCAGTGACCCCCCGGGAACGAAATGGAAATTCCACCCTCGTCTTTTCGAGGAAAGAAGGTAAGGGATCGGTCGAGATTCGAGAAGTCGATTAAATGGATCACAATTAATTTACTAAATTGTTTTAATCGCCTAGCATCCAGTTTTATTTTTGCATGGCAGCTTCGTCTTTGCCTCAATAAAAAGCGCTTTAACTTTTTACTCTACTTCCTCTTGAAGTTTTATTTTTTATATTATTTTATTTTTATTTTATATATATATTATTTTAAAATATTTTAAAACAAAATTAAGTGAAATTAATTTTATTTTATATATTCAATATTTTATATTAAAATTTTAATTTATCTTAATTTATTTTATGCAAAAAAAGTTCCTCAATATAACATTTCCCCCCCCCCCCAGTTCGGAAGTATCTGACCTGGGCAAAGGTGCTCCATTTCTCCTCCAGCAGTCGCTGAATGATCCCGCCTTCGAGCATGTCCAGATGCTCCTCCTTCTCCCCGCTCAAGATGATCATCAGTGCGGAATTCCAATCTATGCACAAATGTAGACATTCCCCAATTATTCGAGGGGTCGCAAGAATGTAAAATACTTTTAAAATATAAATGATGAAAGTATAAAATATCAAATAAAATATGAAATTTGAAATAGATACAAATTACAGGTATAAAATATAAAATAGATATAAAGTATAGTAATAAAATATTGGTATAAAGTACGGATTAGACATATTAAAAAAATATACAGACTCGTTTTCCCGTTGGGAAGAATGGTGTCCAAGGCATTGAGGGGGTACCCCGAGCACGTGATGTTCGAATACCGCCAGAATTCGATGGCCGACAGTTCCATCATCTCCTGGAAGATGAGATTGCGGCCCAGCTTGCAGGCGAGGGTGAGCGGGGTGAGGCCGGCCAGGTTCTCGATGTTGTTCCGGGCGGGGACTTTGGGGTGGCGGAGGCAGTAGCCGTACATGCTCTGGGGTGGGATTCAAAGGGGTTGTCGCCTTGGAGTTTACAGTTCGCGAAAGCATAAGTAAACCCTATTTATTTATTTAAATTTTCTCCTAATCCATCCGTGGGCGCATTCAGTTCCGACCCGAGTTATAACGCGAGTCACGACACGAAACACTGAATCTCGAACACTCGAGTTACGTGCTATGACCCGATCTCTGAGATCGAGTCA